TTCTGTCTTTCCAGTGCACAATGTTGATTTATTAAACTTAGCTCATATCTGACTCCAATTTTAATATGAGGTGGTTTAGAATATTAGTATATTTATCCTCGTTTTATCTGACTCCAATTATAAAACATTGAGAAGGTTATTTTGTTTCCGTTTGCATTAGTTTAGGTTATGATTGAATATTCTCTTCGGTTCATCATTTTATGTTATTCTCGTTCATTGGGATTCCTATAACATCCTGAATCTTGTACCGGCCGAGTATACAATTTCTTAAGCACAAGCATGTCAGTCTTGGTCACTAAACAGTGGCGATTGACCGCTATCCTAAACCGGCAGAACACCTAGATTAGGATATTTTTATGCGGTCCCCATAGATCTGCTACCTCCTAAATCAAACAGAGCTATTAAGTCATATAACGATCATTACTATAGAATTAAGCAGACCAGTCGTACTTAAACTATTAGTAACTTTGAATAATCACTATACTATCTAAATAGTATTATAAGTTTATCGGGTGAAGGACTATCCCCTTAGATATCCTTTTACAGCCTAAGTATACATGAATTAAAGCCAATGTGTTAGTCGGAGCTCGTATAGCGTACCGCAATGCTCCGTCTACCGTGTTCTAGTCCGCTACTAACCTGTACAGGGGCTTGTGGTGCTATGAAATTACCACAATCTACTAGAGATAATAACACGAACTCTGTTTGAATAATTCAAAACATAACAATTTATTAGTCAGGTAAATGTATTATGCCAATTCAATCGGTCAATTCATAAACGATCAATACAACACATCAAATTATCAAAGACAAATCCAAGATGAAAAAGATGCATTCCTGACTTCAAAATACATAACATGGAGCAAGCCATGTTATGGGCTGATCTGGTTAGGCAGAATCGCGCTGAGCCTTTCTCAAACCTTACCTTAAATAATCCAAGAATTCCCTCAAGGAAAGGGGTGTGTGCATAACAAAGGCATTCACACTTAGTGCTGCCTGTGGAAAAGTCACACCCTTCACAGTGGTTCAAAAGATGCCTGAAGTTATATATTTATTGTTTTGATTATGTCTATTTCTGAGAGAATGAGACCATTGTACCAATCGCACTGAGACATTTCAAATGATATCAAACATGATAGTTAAAGTCAGTTTGGTTAATCTAGAACATTCAAACATTGAAATGACCATATGTGTGAGATGGGGTGGATGAAGCCGAGTTTCAGCAGACTCAGATGCAAATGCAGCAGGAACTGGTTTTTCCCGCATTCCCACCTGCTGGGTTGTGAAGTCAATTGGCCCTGTTTTCAGCTCATGTTTTGAATTGTCAAAGACATCAAAAATATTTGTAATATTTCAATTCTTACACTACCCAATTACAGAAAAAGAGCTACTAGATAAAATATAAGTCCTACCAACAAAAAAGGCAAGTGGTCCAGACGATATCCTTTATGAAATGATTAAAAAAATAAATCACAAATTCCAATTGGCTATAATGAAACTGTTTAATTTGGTTCTGAGTGTTGGTCATTTCCCTGACATATGGAATAAAGGATTAATAACGCCCATATTCAAGAGTGGACACAAATCAGACCCTAATAATAATTAAAGAGGCATCTGTGTGAGCAGTAATCTGGGGAAGCTGTTCTGCAGCATCATCAACACCAGACTCATAGGCTTCCTTAAAATAAATGTCCTCTGCAAAAGTCAGATTGGGTTTCTGCCAAATTATAGAACATCAGACCATATCTTCACCCTTCAGACTCTGATTGACAAATACGTCCATCAAAACAAAAACAAAATATTTGCTTGCTTTGTAGATTTTCAGAAAGCGTTTGATTCAATTTGGCATGAAGGTCTGCTGTCTAAACTTCTAGAATCAGGTATCGGCGGTAAAACATACAACATTATAAAAACTATGTATTCAAACAATCAATGCGCAATTAAAATAGGAAATAAGCGAACAGGATTCTTCACTCAGGGACGGTGTCACAACCAGCGATCGCTCCCCAGAGGATCGCTGGTTCTCACACGAACTCAGGACTTCATTTCCGCATTCCCCAGGACTACACATTCATACATGCACTGCTCCCAAACACGCACGCCTGCTCACTCATGTATCCTGATTGCAAGCACCAGCTGAGCCTTGTTCACAGACTGATTACATCCCATTCATAAGCCACTCTCTCACGCTACCAGTGGGCCGAGTCTTGTTTTCCTAGTAACATTACAACGCGTTTCCCTGTCTTGTTTCTCCGTGTTTCGATCTTAGCCTTGTATCCCAGTTATCCTGTTAAGCCGCCTGCCTTTTGACCTTCTGCCTGTTTATATCGACTACGATTCTGGACTGCCTGTATATACCTGTTTGCACCTGATGACCATTGCTTGCCTGACTATTGAATAAACTGCATAGTGGATCTTACCTCCTGTGGTCTCCTGTCACTCCACCCCAGTCGTGGTTACAGACGGGTTGTGAGAAAGAGCTGTCCACTGTCACCAACCCACTTTAATATTTACATCAATCAATTGGCAATGCTCCTGGAGCAAGCAGATACACCAGGTCTCACACTATACGACTCCAGTTTGAAGTTCCTGCTGTTTGCAGATAATCTGGTGCTGCTGTCGCCAACAGAAGAGGGTCTACAGCAGCAGCTGAATATCCTGCACAGCTTCTGTCAGTCCTGGACCCTGACCGTTAACTCCAAGAAATCTAAAACCCTAATATTCCAGAAAAAAAAACCCAGATGTCAGGGAAAAAAACACAGCTTTACCCTTGGTATGACAAAAATTGAACCTGCCATAAGCTACACATACCTATGGTTGAAAACAAGTGCTAATGGAAAACTAAATTTGGCTGTGAATGAACTAAAAGTGAAAGCAAGAAGGGCCTTTTATGCCATTAAAAAATCAACACAAATAGAAATTCCAATTCGAATCTGGCTCAAAATTTTCCAGTCAGTGATTGAACCTATAGTTCTATATGGAAGTGAAGTGTGGGGTCCTCTCCTCAGTCATGAGTTTGATAAGTGGGATAAAAATCCAGTTGAAAGCCTACATGCAGAGTTCTGTAGGAGCATCCTCAGGGTACAGAGGAACACACCCAGCAATGCATGCAGGGCAGAATTAGGCCAGTATCCTCTACTCATGCGCATTGAGAAATGATCCGTTAAATTTTGGAAACACATTAAAATGAGTGAGCCCAACTCTTTTCATTTTAAAGCCCTCAAAACCCAAGAAATAAACATTGAAAAAAGCCCTCTGATTCAGATGGTCCTGAAGCTGCAAACACAAACCAACACAACCAATATACAGCAGGCAGCATCAGGACACTGACATGCTCATCCACAAAATTAAGCCCAATCAAATAACAAATGCACGAAAAGAAGAGTCTCTGGTTTTCTGGAATGAAGCAGCCGGAAAACAAAATAAACTTCAATGTTATTTAGACCTAAATAGAGATTATACCACAGCAAGATATCTGAGTGCAGTAAAGGACAGTAAACTATGAACAACAATGACCAGTAGAGACGGGCCAATAAAAACATCAGTGATGCGCCTGCAAACACACACACACACACACCCACACACACACACCCACACACACACACACACACACACACACACACACACACACACACACACACACACACACACACACACACACACACACACACACACACACACACACACCTAGATGATTATAAATGAATTATTGTAAATATACTGATTATTAGGCGACGCAGTGGCAAAGTGGATTGCACGTTCGCCTCACAGCAAGAAGGTCGCTGGGTCACTGGTTCAATCCTCGGCTCAGTTGGCGTTTCTGTGTGGAGTTTACATGTTCTCCCTGCGTTGGCGTGGGTTTCCTCCGGGTGCTCCAGTTTCCCCCACAGTCCAAAGACATGCGGTACAGGTGAATTGGGTAGGCTAAATTGTCCGTAGTGTATGAGTGTGTGTGTGTGTGTGTGGGTATGTGTGGATGTTTCCCAGAGATGGGTTGCGGCTGGAAGGGCATCCGCTGCATAAAAACTTGCTGGACAGGTTGGCGGTTCATTCCGCTGTGGCGACCCTAGATTAATAAAGGGACTAAGCAGACAAAGAAAATGAATGAATACTGATTATTATTGTTTATTATTATTACGGTTTTATCCTAAAATATTGATTGTTAAATGTACAGTTTATTCTGATCTATTTTTTTATTGATTAGTATGAATAATATGATATGTTGAATAATAATATATTGAATATTAATGTGTTACAGTATATAGAATATGATGTATTGTTGATATTTTATTTAATTATTGTAAATATCTATGTTGTAAATATAAATGTTACAGCAGCTCTGTAATATTTACTAGAGTTAATTAAAATGTTCCTACATAGTGGCCACATATTGTCATTTTGTTTCATGTTTTTGACAAAAATAAGGCAGACAGACCCCAAGTGTTGCTCAAGCACTGGTTATGTAATTATTAATTACATTTAATGTTAGCTATGTTAACGATATGTATACACTCACCGGCCACTTTATTAGGTACACCTATTCAACTGCTCATTAATGCAAATTTCGAATCAGCCAATCACATGGCAGCAACTTAATGCACTTAGGCATGTAGACATAGTCAAGAAGATCTGCTGCAGTTCAAACAGAGCATCAGAATGGGGAAGAACGGTGGTGATTCAGGATTCACCTGATTTAGATGTAAATACCCTCAAATTAAAGCTGGCAGTCTGTAGTTAAAGCATATCTTGTTCGTGTCATTTAAAATCCATTATGTTGATGTATAGCGCCAAAAATATTAGAATTGCGTTGATTTACAAATCTTTATGAACCTAACTGTACTGTAGCAAAGCAAAATATTGCAATGTCATTTTTCCATTATGTTTTACACAGCGGACACCCTTCCAGCTGCAACCCAGTACTGAGAAACACTCATACACTTACATTCACTACGGCCATTTTAGTTTATTCATTTCACCTATAGCGTTGGACTGTGGGGGAAACCGGAGGAAACCCACCCGTATGGTCATACACTGTGGTGATAAAGAGATGGACATGGTCAGTAACAATACTCAGGTAGGCTGTGACATTGACAAGATGCTCTTTAAAGCATAAATACAGATCCAGAACTCTGTTTAAAAATCTCTTTATTGATTTCTTTGTTCATCTTTGAGGCTGATCTTTCAGGCTCCTCATCAATGGCGTGCAAAATCTCCAATGCTGCCCACCACCGTCCTGCGAATGTAGGTAGGCGGTGGACCAGGCCGAGGTTGCCGGAGAGGAGGGTTCTGGAGATTAACAATGTCGTCCTGCTGAAGAACAGACATAATCATGAAAATCTCTCGCTGTCAGTTTCAGATACAACACTTCTAACCCTTGTGTGCTGTTGAGGGAGTTTTCATCCTCTCTGGGGGGATTTTGAGTCTTAATTTGACCACAACTTTCTTTTGGGAACAATTCTGGAAAAGCACATTCAGTGTAGACATATTCTTAATTCTAAGACTGAGTAAAGACTGACTAACCTGTTCTCTCATTCTTCTGAGAGGGCGAGCAGACTGAAGACCACGCAGAACCCCACAGACTCTTCCATTTATTACTAAATCTCTCTGCTGAGGTCTCTCAGGTTCATTCTGTTGCTGCTCCTCAGGTTGTGGTTCAGGGATCCGATTTTGTCCCCTACTGGCTACAACCTCCACATGCTGCTGGTTTTGATGAGGCATCTGATTCACAAATGCTTCATCCTGCTGGAGACAAAGACAAAATCATGTTACTCAACAGATTTACAGACAACCTGAAGATCTGTCAACTCAAACTTCTATATGTGGAGTCTATGAATTAACACTGAATCTAATAAATCTCTAAATAAGTAAGTGTATTTATGCTAGCACACTTTGATTTGTTGATTCACTCCATAAAACTGCATATACATCCATAAACATTTGAGCATAATTATAAGCAACATCATTGGGTTAAAAAGTCATATATGACAATTTTAAGCCGATCTTAATCTAAAAATAATGCAGATATAACATATTTTTTATTTCACTTACTTTAAAAAGTAACTAAGTAACATATTTAGTTACTTTTTTAAGGAACAATTCTGGAAAAGCACATTCTTTGTAGACGATTTCTTAATTCTGGGTAAAACAGAAAGCATGAACTAACCTGTTCTCTCATTCTTCTGAGAGGACGAGCAGACTGAAGACCACGCAGAACCCCACGGACTCTTCCATTTATTATTAAGTCTCTCTGCTGAGGTCTCTCAGGTTCATTCTGTTGCTGCTCCTCAGGTTGTGGTTCAGGGATCCGATTTTGTTCCCTACTGGCTACAACCTCCACATGCTGCTGGTTCTGATGAGGCATCTGATTCACAAATGCTTCATCCTGCTGGAGACAAAGACCAAATCATGTTACTCAACAGATTTACAGACAATCTGAAGATCTGTCAACTCAAACTTCTATATGTGGAATCTATGATTTAACACTGAATCTACCAAAACTCTGTAAGTATTAATGCACGCACACTATGAGTTGTTATACTCAATAGAACTTCATATAAAAGCCAGACACTTTTTTTGCACAGGCCTATCTAAAGGGTTAATAGTGCAAACTTATGATCAACAGTAAAAAGGTTTCCTCATCTCAACTGAGAAAGCCCCCAGTAATCAAGAAAGCATGATTATATGGTGTCAAGACTTTACAATCAAAAAGTCTCGTTATTATGGAGGTCAACGGGGCAAAAACAGCCACTAACATAATGAAAGGGTAGTAACAATACACAAGGGTTAAAGAGAACATTGAGCATATTTATAAGCATTAGTGTTGGGTAAAAAAGTCATATGTGACAATTTTAAACCGATCTTAATCTAAAAATAATGCAAATACAACATATTTTTTACACAACTTACTTTAAAACGTAACTAAGTAACACACTTATTTTTCCAGCACTGATAAGCAGATTGATGCTTGTTTTTTTTGGGGAACAATTCTGGAAAAGCACAGTCAGTGTAGACAAATTCTTAATTCAAAGACTGAGTAAAGACTGACTAACCTGTTCTCTCATTCTTCTGAGAGGGCGAGCAGACTGAAGACCACGCAGAACCCCACGCACTCTTCCATTTATTACTAAATCCCTCTGCTGAGGTCTCTCAGGTTCATTCTGTTGCTGCTCCTCAGGTTGTGGTTCAGGGATCCGATTTTGTCCCCTACTGGCTACAACCTCCACATGCTGCTGGTTCTGAAGAGGCATGTGTTTGGCAAATTCTTTAAGCTGTTGGAGACAAAGGCAAAATCATGTTACTCAACAGATTTACAGTTAATCTGAAGATCTGTCAATATAAACTTCTATATGTGGAGTCTATGAATTAAGCAGGTCCTAGATAAATCATGTGTTAATAAGTGAGCTTTTAAATGATGGCTGCAGATAATAGTATACTCAGTGTGGAGTGGTCAACACTGGTTGTTCTAAAACTATTGAACAACTCCCAATCTCAATTTTGATCCACTTCAAATGTTCACTACTGTGTAGACTAAAATCTCCACCCAGTAACACTGAATATAACTAAAAGGAAGCTGGAACTCACCCATGCCTCTCTTATCTTCAGCATAGTAGGAGACCGGCGACACCTCGAAACTCTTCGAAATCTTTTATAATCTTTAGGCTCCGCTGAAACCATCTGAAACACGTCTCCATTGACCTATCGAAGAAACAAACATATTAAATGAATACTAAGAACTGAATGGCCCAGTTTAAAGCTTCCTTTAATTAATATTCTGGAGATAAGTGAAAGAGAGAGGCAGCAGTGACTTACAGAAGACACAGGTGGGGCCAAAGTTGGCTCAGCAGGCGTGGGGTTTTGATTTCCGAAAAAGAGGTAGCCCGGGGTGTCAGACTCGGCATATACGGGAGCTCCAGGCGGCTCTATCTGGCTCTTGAGGACTGGGGATGTAGTGGGTTCCCCGTTCTCAGGCACAGAGGCTCCTGGTGATGTTTCTGGTGCCTCCAAAAACGGCACCGAGGAGATGTCAACCTGAGGCTCCTCAATAGGGCGCTCAACCTCCATAATGGCCCCTGCAGCGAGGGCAGTGGCGAGCTCATCTGAGGCCTCAGGGACGGAGGACGCATCTGCTGTCTCTGCTGGACCAGACGCAGAAAACTCTCTGTCATCCTGTTGCAGAAACGGACATAATTTTAAATCAGTTCAATATATTATGAGTTCATTTGACTTATAGGTTAACTTGATTTAGCTTTTTCATTTCATTAATATTTCATTTTTGTAAGTTACCTCCACAGTTTGACTCTGGTGACCTGAAGTGAAGTCAAACTGACGCTCCTCATCGATGGGGTGTAAAACCTCCATGATAGCCCACCAGCGGCCGGTGGAGAGGGCTCTGGCGAGCTCTTCTGCGCTCTCAGGTGACAGAGAGGCAGGAATCAGGTTGGAAAGATGGTTAAAATCAATGGTCGACATGCTGGTGACAAACGCAATGACGAAACAGAAGAAGTAGAAGATCGATAGACACTGATGACGATGGCAAACACACTGTAAAGCACTGTGAAACAAAGAGATGAGATTAGTAAATAATAAAAAGCTTCTGAACTGTTTTTTATTCACTTAAAATAACCAAAACACACAGTAATGCAATGAAAATTACAGCACTAGGGGAGAGCAGGGATGAAAGTAACATGACAACATTTGCTTCCCAGGCTATAACAGCACAACCTATGATGGAGCTGCCAAATATCAGCTGATTTTAGGACTGTGTCCTGAGGTTAGGTCCCAATTTCAGCTTTTAAGAGCAGAATTATCGAATCGGTTCTTTTTTCCATATTACAAGTTGTGTTTCTGATATCATGTGTCACAATAATGATCAATCTAGAGGTTATTTAGTGTAATATTACATACTTAGGTGCAAAATGTCTGAGTTTTTCTGTTTAAAAGTTTAAAAAGTAATTTTTTTTTATTTTACAAAAATAAAGGACTAAATATGTTTGCAGTTAACATTAACAAGGTCATAGTCAAATATATTTCAAATAAACAAGATTAATCCAGGAAATCTAGCAAATATTGTGTTACTTCTGACCCACCCATGTTCGTCCATGCCTAATGAGGTCAAAAGTAACAATGTCCAACTTTTGTTTGACGTGAAGTTACAGTATTGGAGTTGTTCTACATTGATACAAAATGACACCTGGTCTTGATACAGTTAGTTACCACAACAAACATATAGTTTTGTAAATTAGGTTTTTATTAAAATGTTACTTGCATCCCCGCTTAAAACACCCACTGTATAGCATTGTAAATGTGTGTTTCACTGCCTGAAACGTTAGTTTAAAACAATAGCTGCTTTTCAACTGCCCGGCCTGTAAAGACCTATACCTCCGGTCACCGCCAGGGTTTTTGGTCTGCCAGACGTCTTTAACCAAAAGACAGCGGAAAAGCAGCTATAATACAATATTTGAGCTAAAAACTGTATGTTTTCTGAAATATCAAACATTTTTAACAGAAAAAAAGGATTTATTAACATAAAAAAGGTGAAAAGCACCGAGTAAAATGTACTTACGATCATTCGACGACTCGGTATGATGTAAAAATTAGAACACCCCAATTTAACTGAACGTTCTAAGATAACCATGACGACGCCGCGGGGGAATCTATTACATTACTACAGTATGTGTAGTTATAGCTAAAGTGTTCATTAAAACAATATATGCTTTCAAATGAGTTTATATGAATACATTTTACACTTCTTGTTATATGTGTATAGCATACAGTACATTAAAACAAATGTATATTTATTTTCTTAAAAAAAAAAACATTCCTGAACATTTACAGAAAAAAACGTACTTGACTACTAAAACATCTATAGCTAATAACATACTTTAAGGAAAATCAATAACAATAAAATAAAATACTACTACAATTGATGACAATAATAGTTTAGCGGTAATTAAGTTGTAAAATTGAATAGAAGACATGCATTCTGTTGCTTTACTCACTATTTTTTATTAGTGTAATTCCTTATTGCCGCCAGTAACTTCTTTTATTCTGTAGTATGACGGCTATTCTATAGTTAATTGCATTTAAAAGAGTATATTTTCAATAAAACGCTTGTAAGAGCTTAATATGCACGTTTAGGTTTGTGCTTTGGTCGCATGTACACAGTTTTGGCCAGCAGGTGTCGCCAGCAGGTGGAGTTTTCAATGCTTGCAAACAGTGAATTCTTTTTGTGAAGTCCAACTCACTCACCTCTCTGCATATTCAGCTCTTCATCAGGGGTCACCACGGGGATGATCCACAACCCTGGCACATGTTTTACCGGCTGACTCTAGAACAGTAATCTACATACAATTAATGCGATGCCCACATTTATCATGTAGGTGGCCAATCTGAGACTCCAGTGTGTGTGTGTGTTTGTGTCTGTGTTTTACCTTCTTGACACTTCATTCATTCATTCATTCATTTATTCATTCATTCATTCATTCATTCATTCATTCATTCATTCATTCATTCATTCATTCATTCATTCCTCCATTGTGTATTCATGTTATAAATAAAGGTGTTAAAGAAAGGGAATTTCTAGAACAGAGCAGCTCTGTAATATTTACTATAGTTAATTAAATGTTCCTACATAGTGGCCACATAATGTCATTTTGTTTCATGTTTTTGACAAAAATAAGGCAGACAGACCCCAAGTGTTGCTCAAGCACTGGTTATGTAATTATTAATTACAATTAATGTTAGCTTCTTAGTTTCTTTTTGTAAATAACATTATGTTTTGCTTAATAATATTTCAATAATGCCAAATGTATTTATATCAAGCAGTCAAAACATCATGCTCAGAATATCACGCCAGGAAAACCCTGGTTACTAATAAATCAAATTGTTCCAGTCCTTGATTCTGATTGGCTGATCTGTGTTCTAGGCTGTTGTAAAATACTCCACAGACATACAGTGATTGCAGCTTGTTAAGCATTCTGATATCAGTTTATGACTCGAGGAACTGTTTATTTGATCCGTTTCATTTTATAAATCATTTGATCTGACCAAAAGAGCCAGTGAGAGAGAGAGAGAGAGAGAGAGAGAGAGAGAGAGAGAGAGCTCCAAAAAGCTTTTAATTAATTAAATTTTTTTTTAAGTACAAATAAAATAAAAAATAAAATTAGTTTAAGCTTAAAGTGAGGATTTAGAAAAAAATAAAGCAGAAAGTCAAAAAAAGCAACGGTTCAGTGAATTTAAAAGGGGGATTTATGTGGAGTAAAAGGCTGAGTAAAAAAAATATCTGATTGCTGCTCTATATGGTATATATACACTCACCGGCCACTTTATTAGGTACACCTGTTCAACTGCTCATTAATGCAAATTTCTAATCAATATGTCACGAAGCATGGTGTCTCTGATTGCCTTCATACTGATCAAGGCCGCCAGTTTGAGGCAGACTTAATCAAAGAGCTGTGTACACATAGCTGGACTAGATTGGGTCTATATTTCACAGAAAAACTGACACTACGTCTATTACTTGCAGGTACCTCATAAATGTTATTGACTTTTCTTACATGATGGAGTATTATTTATATTATAAGCTTTATTTAGCCAAAAAAACAACAAGCATCAAAATTTAAGGTTCTTCAGGCTAAAATTGGGTTACACATAGTCGGGCTAGATCTGGTTTATATGTCACCTAACCAGTGAAATGATGGCTATTGCTTGCTGGGAAAAGTCTCACTTCTACCACTCTTTAAAAGTTTTGGTTTCAGTTTGTGTCAATTTAAAGGGGTGGTCCAGATTGTAATATTAAGGCTTGGTTGCGTTTATAAGATGCAAAGCAATGTGTGATCATTTTTCACTTGAAGGAAATCATGTTATTTTTTCATATATCTCACTTTATTATAAACAGCTACTCAGCTAACATGAAAACGACAGTCAAATTTCCTAGTTCCTCTGAAAGGCCCACCCTTAAGTAACTCTGATTGGTCATCATCATAATGTGCTGCTATTCGTGGATCGGCTCCACGTCACACCCTTAAAAGCCTGTGCTTTTCTGCAGTGTAAACAATCAGTCAACCTCCTGCCTGCTCTCTAAAATAACATCTGACAAGTGTCTGTAAAGCCTAGTTCACACTACAGGATTTTAAACATCAGCAGATCGCTGTGCTGTTCACACTACATGACTTGACTTTGTGTCTTTTAATCTCTGTGGTGTTCACACTACGCAACACTCCGTGAACGATCCACAAGAGGGGGGTCACACATTACATGATCTGACAACATCTCATTCCCCATCAGCTCATTCAAGCTACCAAACCACAGCCAATGAAAATTTGAGGGAGGAGTCGTCAGAAAAAGCTGAACAATATTGGCTGCTTGTGTGCTGATGACATCACTGACAGCGTTTCAAGCTTTGGAGAAAGCATTTAAAAACATCGTCAAATCAGCTGATTTATGAGCGGATTAATCACTCATCTGCAGGTTCCAGTGGATAGATACACAGAGAGTTTTTAATTTTTGTAATTTTATAACTCTTTGAAATAAAACTAACATATTTATAACAACCTGCTGTTTTCTAACTATCAGTGTATTTCTTTCTGACATTGTTATTTTTTTATTACAAAACAGTAAAGAACTGAGCATTTCTGCCTTAAATTACCATATTGGTCAAAATGACTGCATGCATGTCTGATACTTTTCACTGTGACTTTAAATATGTGTGCATTTTCTTGCCTGGCAACTTCCTGCTAACATAAACAAAACTTTCTGATGGCAAAAACATCAATTTACTTCAGATATCTTTCAAAACAGCATATTCTGTGCTGTGAAATAGCTCCTGTTTGAAAGTGAAAATGAAAGCCAAGACCTTTAAGTGTTTTAGTATCTTAACTACATATTTATAGGCTGTATTACCAAAAAATATTATATTTTTAGGGTAATAGTGTCATTAAATATGATGCCAAACATTTAAAGCTTAATTTTAATATCTCAATAATAGCTTTGAATGTAAATATGTTGTGACAATATGGCGTTTTATATGAGAACGGTCAGAATGAGCAGTATGGTAATTCTAATAGTTACAGAATTCTAGTTCCACTGTTAATATATCCTCCTCTCATGTTTGTGCTAACGCAGAATGAAGCGAGTGCATCGATGCCCATTCTGACCAATCACAGATGTTTTTGCTGAGCTCCTGAACAGACAGCCATTCAGCTCATGCTGATATGCTCTCTCATTGGCTGTAGCTCGTCACTACATCTGACCACACGTGGGGTTGAGTCGGCCGACTGCTCTGGAATATTTAGCATGCTGAATGTTGGATTTCCGTCTGCGAGGTGTCGGCGACGCATCAGCCAGCCTCGTTGATGCGTTGTTCAGTAGTTTACACTTAAAGAGCGGCGAGCGCCGAGCACCCGCAGATTTCTTCCCGATCACAGCCCGATCTGTCGGCGAGCTCGTTAACTTCCAAATCGGGCTCAAATCAGGCTTAAAATCCTCTAGTGTTAACTAGGCATAAGGAGTGAAAATGGGGTGCGGCTCCTTTAAGAGTGTTTGCCATTGTGTGTGCGTCTGTGTGTGTGTGTGTGTGTGTGTGTGCATGTTGTCTGGGTCTATGTGTGTGTATGTGTGTGTGTGTGTGTGTGTGTGAGTAAATGTATGAACTTTCTGTAACAAGCGCATGTGCACGGGAGTTTTCTTTTTCTCTGATGCTCGGATTAAGTTATTTTCTGTAATTTATCGTGACAGAAGAATAAAGCACAAGATGTGGGATGCGACCTGTGTGAGCCTTGATTTATTTTTCTGCTGTTACCACGAGTCAGGTAAGCTATACTGTATTTTTTTTTTAACTCTATGCGTTACACAACGTCTTACATATATATCCGGAACATGCAGGTGTAAGTAATATGAATCATCCACATATCTTTAGCGACTTCATTACCTGAGATGTGAAACGCATGAAAAAGCTGTCTGAAGACAATCAATGCAGTCGCGCACACAAATAAGAGACACGATTGTGCTGGTGGTGTGTGTGTGTGTGTTTACAGCAGTTTGACTGATTAATATGAATTTGTAGCTAAATGGTTTGCCCGCAAAGCAGCATTTCACATTGTTTACATCGTTGCTACTGCATGCTATTAACGCTAGATACTGTACATGTCATGATCAATTTTAACAAATAAAAACATTTACAGGTTGTAGCTCACAGCTTCTGCTTTGAGGAGATTTTAGCCGAATCCAGCACTGAACTGGGGGAGATTCTGGAGCTGTTTTGTCAAATCAAGCTTGCTATGTGTTTTATAATTCTGTGGAACATAATTAATATTGAACTGTAAGCACTTCTGTCTTTGTGTCGTGTCCTTTGGAAGCCCAAATACAGAAACAGACGAAGCTCTGTGGAAACAGCAGTTTTTGGATGCATTTTTAGCTTCATCTCTGCTATAACGTTACAGCGCCTCTGGCCATGGCCCTTACCTGCGCAGTGTAAGTGCGCAGTAAACGAACCTTTGTGATCTCACAGGGGGCGGAAGTATTTTTTGTAGTCCCCAAAATTCGTTCATTGTAGGCTTTGCTAAGCTAACTCTGTAAAAACCAAGGTCTCCCCAGTGAACTTTTATCAATTTTATTTATTATTGTACTTTTTACATTCAGAGATGTTGTTTATGTTCACACAGCTACATTACACATCAACTAAAGTTTAAAATATGATATCATAGTAGACCATCCCTTTCAATGTTCAGTCTGAGCTGAGGATTTCCATTTCTCTGTGTTTGTGGAAAAGCAGGCAAGTCAGCTGGACCAATTTATGAGCAGGCAGAGCAGGATTCTCGCGATGACCACCTGCACATTACTGCTCTTTGTTATCAGCCGCAGTTTCAGTGTAAACTTAGTAAAAGCAAGCTTCTTTGGCGATGATATGTACAGTATTAGATTTTACTTTTAGCGGACATTTGCGCTGAGCACACAGTGAATGCCATGCATCGAGATTCGGACACCTTCTTCGAAAACACTCGATTGATCTCAGCTGGTGGATCAACATTCACCACATGTCATCATCGCTCTCATCTGCGCCTCAGGTGGGGTTTGCAGACCTGTGTGCTTTCAGCTCCTTCCCTGTCATCTGACAGCAGAATACCTTGAGTGATTGACAGCTAATATGAACCAATATAGCGGCAGTGAAGAGCTGTTCAGCACGTTTTTAGAAAAAAAATCTAAACAGGTTGCACTACAGCCACTATAAGTCGCACAAATGCTCCCAAATATATTATGAGGTCGCATAGATTAATTTTCAGGCACATATGCAACCAAAATGGTTGCAATTTAGAGCCCTGTTATGTATTAAATACATTCACAAATACTAAAAACGAAGGAGGTTTTTGCTATAATTTTAGTTAGTTTTGTATGTACAGTTAAGTTAGATCTAATTTTTAAACAAACTCTCATCTTTATTTTTATTTCAGTTAACGGCAATTATTTTACATTTTAGTTTTCGTTTTTTGTTTGCTTTTGTCAACTATAATTACCTTGGTAAGGACAAAGTGGCGTAGTAGGTAGTGCTGTCGCCTCACAGCAAGATGGTTGCTGATTCGAGCCTCAGCTGGTTCAGTTGGTGTTTCTGTGTGGAGTTTGCAAGTCCCTGCGTTTGTGTGGGTTTCCTTTGGGTGCTCCGATTTCCCCCACAGTACAAAGACACGTGGTACAAGTGAATTGGGTAGGCCAAATTGTTCGTAGGGTGTGAGTGTGCACGGATGCTTCCCAGAGATGGGTTGGAGCTGAAAGGGTATCTGCTGCGTAAAACATATGCTGGATAAGTTGGCGGTTCATTCCACTGTGGCGACCCAAGATTAATAAAGGGACTAAGCTGAAAAGAAAATGAATGAATGAATAAAGCTTAATAAGCAAACTTGCACTTTGGGTGTGACACACTGAAGGTTGGCCATAACTTTTGGCTTTAATTTGTTCCACCAGGCCACAAGCATAGTTGAAGTTTGTTGCAACAGTGCTGTTTTGTGCAGAGACTGATAAATGTTCAGAGGTAATATATTGGCTTCAGCCCGAGTCCAATTTGAACTTCACCGTCAAATTTCCAATGTCTACATCTGTGTACCATGCGTTCTGTACTGAACCACTTGTCTGGTTTAGTTCCACTGATCTGATGAATAATGAGTCAACCATGACATTTCTATTGTGTTTAGGCATTGTGTCTTTTTGTTGAGACATGCACCCTGAGGCAAAGTGGTTGGATTTGCCACAGGCATGAGATGTTGCGCCATAGGCCAGACACCAGAGACCGTTCGTGGAAGGTGAGATTTTCCACACTTTTTGCAGGCGAATGATACTGTTTTTTGCTGTTGAGATGAATTTCTTTTAAATATTTTTTCTGTTTTAAATCTTTTGTCTTCTTCTAAATGGCGTGAACAGTTTTTCTCTGCTCCCCTATAGCTTGAATCTGTATTTTTGCTGCCTCTGCCGCTCTGCAAATTTCCAGTTTTTTTTTAAGGGTCAAGTTTGTTTCTCTTAGGAGACTCTCCTTTAAACACTGATCACTGATACTGAACACAATCTTGTCTGTTATCATGTCAGATTCTGTTGAGCCAAATTCACAGTCCTTACTCTTTTGTTTTAGTTATGTGACATACTTATCGATGTTAATCGCATGAAGTATAGGGTAGGCCCAGATCTGGTGCCTTTCGAAAACAATGTTCTTTCTTGGTAAACAATATTTCTCCATTGCAGTTACTATATCTTGCATTGTTTCATTCAGACAGTGAGTTACATACTTCTAATGCCTCCTCTCCTAAAGCATGAAGCGGAATGGCAATCTTTACCTTTTCAGTTTTTGAGTTTGATCCTGTAGCAGTCATATAAATGTTGCACCCCTGTATCCATCTTCTCCAGTTTTCACCTGTATTCCCTGACAGGACTAATAGAGGTGGTAATCTGAACTGATCCATGTTTATTTTTCACTATGAAATACTTATTTTAGTCAGGATGAGTTCACTTTATTCATCAAGTTGCTGTAAACTGCAGGCGTGAATCCATAAACAACTCATTCGTCTTATAGACCGCGTACACGGAGAGGTATAACTCAGAAACACATTTATTTAAAAGAACACAAGCAGCTCCAACTGCTAACCATCACATGCGTTCAGTCTTACTCACTGACTCCGTAGAACCCCCGTACTTAAACCAAAGTCGCCCTCTAGTGGAGTCAATACGTAATGACATTATAAGTGCATATAACACTACACCACAGCTACTTCCTAAATAAATGTACATGTAGGATTTTTAGCATAAGAAAAAGCAAAAGTAAATTTTTACTTAAAATTACCAATAGAGTAGCTGTACTGATTATTAGCTTATGGCTTTGCTTATGAAAGTGAAAGTCAAGACTAAAATGAAAATGAAAGCTGCACAGTGACTCATGATCCAGCTCTCAAACATCAAGCAGCAGCACAAACCTCTTTCTGCGTCTCAAGATAAAAAACAGTGAGTAACCTACTTTGTTTTACTTTAATTCCCTTACAAAACATTTTCCCAAATATATCACTGTAATGTGCGCTAAGTCTTAGCTATGTGTGAATAAGGTATGAAAGTGTATTCTCACCGATCGAGCCTAGAAAAAAACTGTTTTAGACTAGAGCATTCTGTTATGACCAAATTGAATAAAATATCAGGCTAAAATTAATTCGCTTTAAAAAGTACACTGTTTTCCTACAATGATCAGGTTGCTCAACTTGCTCTCTACAAGCTTGACCACAGCCCAGCACTGCAGTAATGCAGGTTAGGGTGGTCCACTACAATATCATATTTAAAACTTTAGTTGATGTGCTTCTTCTGTTTCTGTATTTGAGCTTCCAAAGGATATGTCACAAAGACAGAAGTGCTTACAGTTCAATATTAATTATGTTCCAGATGATTATAAAATACAAATAAAGCATGATTTGACAAAACAGCTTCCAGAATCTCTCCCAGTTCAGTGCTGGATTCGGTTAAAATCTCCTAAAAGAAGGATCTGCTCCAACAAGCAGAAGCCGTAGCCTGTGAGTTGTTACTTGTTAAAATTGATCATGACATGTACAGTGTCTTGCCTTAACGGTGTGTTGTAGCAAAGATATAAACAACGGGAAATGCTGTTTGGCACCGCTAACAATTTAGCTACAAATTCATTTATACATTTATTTAACAGTCAAACTGCATTAAACACACACACACACACCAACACACACACACACATACACACACAAAATGGCGATATCTCTTAAAAGAGCCGCATCCCTATTTTCACACGTTACAGACACTTGTCAGATTTTATTTTATAGAGCGGGCATAAGGTTGACTGACTGTTTACACAAAAGCAAGTGCTTGTACAGGCGTGACGAAGAGCCGATCCGCAAATCGCAGCACATTATGACAGAAGACCAATCAAGCAGGTCGCACACCAGAAGCGCCGCTCGGCGCCGCGACACGGCGCGCACATGACAGTTTAAAGTATCACACACCAGACGCGCACATTCGAATGATATTTAACATGAAACTAATCAGATGGCGCTCTGTGGCGCGGCTGAAAAATGAACTGCGTCCTGAGCCGTCGCCGGGCGCCGCCGACAGGCGCCGACTTGCGGCGCCGGTGTGTGTATCCTGATAGAAACCCATGTTTAGAATTCTAAAATACATGGCGCTGCGTGGCGCTACGCGGCGCTTCTGGTGTGCGACCTGCTTCAGAGTCACTTGAGGGCGCGCCTTTCAGAGGAACTAGGAAATATGACAGTCGTTTTCATGTTAGCTGTATTTAATCAAAGTAAGAATTAATGAAAAATAATGTGATTACCTTCAAATGAAACATGAACACACATTGCTTTGCATCTTATAAACACAATCAAGCCTTAAAAATACATTCTGGACCACCTCTTTAAATATTAATCCAGAGAATAGGAAAGAGGTCCTCTGTGCGCACGATAGGGTACCGCCCAAAGCAATAAGAGTAAAATTTCATTGTTCTACAAGCTGGTGCAGGTGACAATAAGCACCCTGGGGCCATATTCACCAAACAAAAGTGACTGCAGCAACAGATAATGTAAACAATTTTGTTATGATTATACCTTGACGCAACGTCTATTTTTTCTAAATAAAAATATTCAGCAATAATGCTAAAAAAATCGTCACTTTGGAATTATAAGGTTCTTTCTGCATTTTGAATGATTTTGAGACATTGAGCTTCAAAGTTTTTGCATTCTATATAGTAAACAGTATTTGTATAACATTTGGGGTTTTTTTTAAATAAAAAGTCTTAAAATGTACACAACTTATAAAAAACGTCCCATAATGTAAATAAGTTGTCATTTAATAAGAATGTCAATAACTCAATTTTGACAAAAACGTCAGATAGAACCTTATAATTCTATGGTGACGAAGTGTTACGTGCGTATTTAAAACATTTCAAACACACACACACACACACACACACACACACACACACACACACACACACACACACACACACACACACACACACACACACACAAAAAAAAAAAGTAGACATAGTAGAAATAGTAAAAATGTTTTAATTACAGGAATATTTTAAATAGTTTAATCTACTTATCTCATGTTTAAATATAAACATTTTTAAATAAGTTTATTAACGCTTACAACTAGAATGTTCACTGAAATGAAATGAAATTGCCTTTTTGGGTGAACTTTCTCTTTAAGTAGCCTAGTTTCATTCTTAGATATTTTTTGCACACAGCCCTTCCACTATGCTGTTGTGTCAGAGTATGAATCTCTTAAGAAATGAATTTATAATAACACTGTTCTAAACCTTGTGTGTATAATAGTCGTAAGATATTTTAAAGGGTCACAAAACACCAAAACACATTTTTTGAGCTGTTGACAGTCGTATATGTGTCCCACACTGCTAAAAACACTATTAGGAAACCTATATTTCACTGAGAAGTGTAAATTGGTTGTTTTAGCGTTATTTCAAGTAAATTCGTACTTCCGGTTTGAAACGAATTTTTGAAGCTGCGTCACGGTCATGACATAATAGCGTCTATTCCAGCGTGCAGACAGGACGTCTGTGCCAGAGTGTGTCTTATTACGTCTTACAGCCTGCTGCATTAATGCATGAGTAAGGCTTGGTTCAAACCAATCAGCGCGCTCTATTGTGCAACTTCATTAATATTCATTACTGCCACAGTGTTTACACGACAGAGACACCACGTTGTGTTGGCAAAACAAGCGTGAAGTGTTGTTTTTATAGTTTGCTGCCGTTAAGTTTTGTTTTCATTTTCTCTCTGTGAGAGCTCATCTGGAGTCACGTGTGGATTAACAGTGTACGCGACGCTCGACAACAATAACTTACGTGTCTAAGGAGAATTATTGTTTACCTGAGAGCTGTTCTCATCTGCAAACGCTGAGATCCGGATTCGCTTGTAGTCTTCTCTTCATAATGACGCGGCTCTAGTTGCTGGTGATTGTCCTGTCTCTACAGATTTGGTAAGTGAGCGACCAGCGCTCTTTGTTTATTCAGTTTATTCGTATCGAACTAAGTTAACTATAGCACAGAGTGTAAACATGTTAGCACCACAACCAAACTTTAACCTTGTGTAGGGTTTTTACCGCATTTTGTGACCGGAATAACACACGCTGCTTTCTGACGCTACCTGTCGTGTGCATCTAAGTTTCCAGGAAATTTTTTTTCTCTCATTCGCCGTGCGGTATCAAACATTGCATGAAAAATACACGCTTAGAGCAGATCCTCGGATCAAATATCTCGTTTGTCGCGAGGGGCATGAATGAATTCCCTGAATGAAAGAGCCAAACTGCTGTTAAAGTCCAACATTTAATAATTTGGCAAATAATTCGACTACAGATGTCCATGTAGGTTAAACACCATCACTTTCTCCTGTGTGTTTATTTTAACTCTGAAACTCGCGCATGCCCAAATAGACACTCCCACACCCTCCCACTTAAGTTCCTCCGACACTCCCCCCTAAACAGAGCTGGACACGCCCACTTTTCTGACTTTTTCCAAAGTAGAGGTGTGAAAACACCCTGCTGAAACAAGGGGGTTTTATGGCCCTTTAAAGGGTTGTCTTCATGTGGCCTTTTTAAAATGATATATTTTTCATAACAGTTTATCTTTTTACTTTTGTACACAGGCCAGACAATGGATAGGTTTATAGATGATTTCCATAAAAATCTTCGTAAGGAAGTATCTGTCCTGAAGGCCTCTTCCATTGAGTATTGTGATTTCATACTGTACTTCTGCCTCATCACCTCTCGTGCTGGAACTGACATTGATGCTGCGATCACGAATCTTAATCATGTTTCAGGTTACACACAAGTTTAAAGCTGAAATTCACAATAAAACAGAATTTATTTACTGATTTCTTACGATCCATTTAACAAACCACGTTTTTTTGCCTTGCAGCTGACAAACAAGTCATCATGGGAGTGCTTTTTCTCACAACTGACCCTGAGAAAACCATACCAGACACCAACAGTGCTAGAAATGAAGAGAACATATATTATGTCGACTTTCTGTTCAACGAGGATGACGGGTTAATGAATTGTCAGAAGAATAAAGATGCAATCAAGAAACTTGCGAGGTACATGAAGTCCAAGGTACGTCTCCTTATCAACATGGCTATTGTCATGGCATTTTCTCAACTATAATTTATTAGCAAAAATATAAAAATCTTTTATTTTTTAATGATTTTGATGCGTTCTCTTGATTTATTTTTGTGATTTTTGCATTTGCTGTTGTAAATTAATCATCTAGTGTTATTGCATTGATTGGAAGTTCATAATTGTTGTAGTCTCTAAAACAGATGTTATGATTTTATCCTTTTTATTGTTTAATGCATACATTTTATTATATTTATTTCCAATTCAGAATCTGACTTCATATTACTTGCAAAGTAAGTATTCCAAGTTAAAACTATTCTCCATGATTCTCTTCCAATGTTATATTGAAATTTATTAATTATACAAATCTTAAAACAATTGAAAAATGTTAAGGAATAAAAAAGAAACATTGTATTTTATAAATAATGTGCTTCATTTTTGTTCCGAAAGATTATGGAAATTCACGCATAAACTCATACCAGGATGGAGAAGATATTCCCTTAAACCCAGGAGAACTACAAAATGCCGGTGGAGTTGTGAATTATTTCAAAAAACGTCCTGTTGCTTGTCTTTTTGTTGTTTTTGTCATTTTATTAATTTTTGTTGTGATAATTGTAGTGTCAGTGAAATACAGCTATCTAAATAAATACAGAAATGACACTGTAAAAACTAATGACGCTTTCTGAAAAAAAGGCAGTTGTGGATCCCAGAAGACCACAATAATAACAGCAATGTTAAAACGTGTACAGTTTTAACTTTAATTAACAACAAACCACCATGATTCACTAACTCATAATAACTTTTTGAAGCACTGATATATAGTAGTCATCATTTAAAGTGGATCATCATCTTTCATGTCCTATGTTGACAGCACGTATTCTTGTCATAGGACATTTTGGAAAAAATATTTTTGATTAGTTTGAATGATGACTACTGTACGAAAGTCACATAAACCGAGGCTAATTACAAATAGTGTAGAAAAAAAAGCTGATAAAGGATAGGTGTCTATACTAACCATCATGGTAATATACTATGATACTAATAATATACTAACCATCATGGTAATATACCAACCATTATGGTAAAACACGCAATAAAAATGTATTTTACTATATCACATGTAGCTTAAAACACTTTAATGAGAAAAACTAAAAAGAAATTTGGCAAATGCAACCAATTTTTACTGCAGCATTTTTCCATTGTGAATTTCAGTAGTAATTGTCACTAAGCTTCATATACTACACCGCATGAAGAGAATTAAACTGTGAATGTAAGTGTGTTTTTGAGATATATTAAAATATAGCTTTATTACATCCCGGGAGTCATGGTGAATGAATATTATATTGATTATAGTTGTTATCTTTAAAGTTATTATGAATGATGACAATGCTATTTGAGTAACGCTTGCTTTATGCTAATTGCTTTGCTTAGCCTTTTACAGTAAGTTTGTTTTATACTGTGTATGGGTAGAAGAAGAAAAGGATTTTAAATACCATAGATCTTGTCTGGCAAGAATAATTTAATGAAGAGTAATAAAAGATTGCATGTTTACAGTGGATCATTTAAATGGTAATAATTGTCATTTGAAATCTTTTTGCTGCTCTCTTTAAAACCACAGTTTTACCCTTTTATCAGTAAGACAATTATTAGCATTTAAAATATTGTCTGATTTATAATGATCACTAATTGTTTTATGTTAACAACTGCATGTCATAAGTGTGTTGTATCAATTTTAAATAAATATGTTATGCTCAATGCTAAGTGGATGTTTAATATTCTTTATGCATTTAAAATCACTCTTATCAATTAAATTGACTTCAGATATCAAAATGGAACATCTTTATACTGTTTGACTTTTGCATAAGTCTTAGACTATAATGTGCTGTTTAACGTGGTTAGTTTTCAGTGGCTGGTGCTTTACAGATAAATCGGAAAGAATTTGAGCATCTGGCATCATTCAGCTTCCCAGATGCAGTTAACTGCCCACAGTCTTCTTCACCTGAAACATTATTTGGCTCTCCTGGTTTCCAGTGACTAAATAACAAACAAACAAAATCACATATAAAAAAAGCACAGTGTTGTGCCAAACCACCAGTATAAAAACATAGCAATGTAAATAACTGAATTAACAACAGCAAAAAAAAAAAAAAAAAAAGCTCCTTAAATTTATTTTAGGAATTTTAAATTTTTATACAAGCTAAGACTCGACAGCTTAACAAATATATCCATTATTCAGCCAACATATAAACATACATACATATATATATATATATATATATATATATATATACAATACAATACACAACATACATATGTACATGTTGGCTAAATAATGGAATGTTGATTTTATTGTTTAATCAGAGGACAACTTTCCAAGTCCCAAACTTTACTGAATAAGTTCCATTTATTAATTTGTTCATTTTCTTTTCGGTTTAGTCCCTTTATTAATCTGGGGTCGCCACAGCAGAATGAACCGCCAACTTATCCAGAATATATTTTACGCAGTGAATGCCCTTCCAACTGCAACCCATCACTGGTTAACACCCATACACACTCATATACACTAATATACTACAGTATAGCTTACCCAATTGACCACGTCTTTGGACTTGTGGATTGAATTTTTGGTGTGAGGTTATTGTGCTGCTACCCACTGTGCCACCGTGACACCCTAAATAAGTTTCAGTAATAATAAAAACTATGCTAAAACTTTGTGATTTGAAAGACTGTTAATGAGTAACAGAGTTTTTACATGCCTGCTGTTCATAATGTATGGCTTTCCATCAATCCATCTCCACTAATTGCATCTGTAAGACCAGTTCAATAAGATTTAGATGTAAGAATAGCGTATTGCACAATAGTCCTGAATGAAGAAAACAAAACAGGCGTTAGATGAGATCATATAAAGTTGATCTGCTATTTTCTTCATGTTAGTTTGTGTCTGTGTTACTAACCCACTCCCTGCTGTCATTCCCCAGGATGAGTCACAGGCTATCCTTCTCACAACAGTATAAACGTGCCTTTAGCCAGGTCAGTTTAGTGCTGGAAATCTGGCTGCAGAAAGGAAAAGATTAAGCTCAGAACAGGTTTATCTGAATGAAATTATTTTTAAATTATATTTTTATTTTAAAATTTGATAATATTACTCTTATTTTTATTACTAATTGCAGCTTTAGCTAAACTTATTTGGCCTCTTAAGAAATTAATTATTTGACAAACCTTTTTACCTGACAGTTTTAGTTTTCACTAACTTGCTAAAAGATGGTGAGCTATTCTAAAATGACTGAAACCCTCTGGCAGCAGATTATCAAAATGATATATTTACACCACCTTGGACTGAGGTGAAAGGATGAAAAAGGCAATAAAACTAAAGGAAAATTTTATCACAAATATTATTAAATATAATTTATATTCCATTACATTAATAACCAAATGTAGCCTTTGTATAGTTATTTATATGACTGTTTAGCATAATTAAATAACATCATTTTATGTTAGAATCATGGGCTGCCAATAAATAACTTCAGTTATTAAAGTTTCACTTTCTGCCTAAGGCATAAATATCTTAAATATTAGATGCTGTAAATTAGTAGCTGCACTGACTAATAACTGGTGGTTTGTCTGCTTATGAAAGTGAAAGGCAGGCTTGAATAAAATGAAACTGAAAGTAGCTGCACAGTGACTCATGATTTAGCACTAAAGCATCAAGCAGCAGCACAAACCTCTCTCTGCGTCTCAAGATAAAAACCAGTGAGTAACTTACTTTGTTTTACTTTAATTCACATCTAAAAATGTTCTCAAATGTTCTTCTGTACAGTGTGTGTAAGTATTAGCCTTGTGTGAATGTGTTAATAGGGTGTGAAAGTGCATTATCATCGATCGAGCCTAGAAAAAAACTGTTTAGACTAGAGCATTCTGTAATGACCAACTCGATTAAAATATCAGGCTAAAATTTATTTGCTTTAAAAAGTACTCTTTATTTTACCATGATAATCAGGTTGCTCAACTTGCTCTCCACAAGCGTGACCACAGCCCAGTGCTGCTGCAACGCAGGTAAATATTAATCCAGAGAATGGGAAAGAGGTCCTCTGTGCGCGATAGTGTTCCGCCCAAAGCAATACCAGTAAGATCTCATTGTTGGTGTAGGCGACAATAAGCGCCCTGGTGCCATATTCACCAAACAAAAGTGACTGTGTGTGAAGTGAGCAACAGATAATGTAAACAATATTGGTCAGTGGTGTAAAGTAGCTAATTACAAATACTCAAATTCTTGTAATTTAGTAGTTTTTTTCTCAGGAATTGTAATTTACTATGTAGTTCTAAAAATGTGTACTTTTACTTTCCCTTGAGTACATTTTTATATGGAACCAGATTAGTCTCAAAAGAAATTCACGCAAAAGACACACATGCGTAGCCAAATTCACGTGCATAAAACCAAATTCACGTGCTTAAAATATTTATTTATATTCACAAAAAATTTCACGTGCACAATATAAAAATACATTTTCATAAATTTTTGATTAGAAAATATGAATTGCTAAGATTTAACTCTAAAGGTAATTTTGAACCTTTAGATTCCAGATAATATATAATCCCCATTTCACACATATGTTACAGATTTGAGATTCATGGTCTGAAATGGTTTCTTGTTTTGCCTAACTTAAATCTTCATCATCCCCACCCCCCTCCCCCCATAAATTGTTTTTTAAAAGATGCATGCGAGTAAAAAAAATTGCAATATAGCATTTAACAGGTTGCTTTATTGCAATCTTTTTTTTGATTAAACTTAATTCCAAACATGTCAAAAACGTAAATGTTAAACATTAGCCTACAAATACAAAACCATCAGTGCTTCTCACAGGTTTGAAATTTGCGATGGTAGCCGGATTGAAACAAACTATTTACCCACATTACATAAATAGTTACCTATATGCGACAAACAAAACATATTCATTTTTTAACAATAAGTTAATTTGGGTTAAAGTAAAAAAGAAAAATGTTAAAAAAAAGACATCCACATTCTCTTACCTATTCAGGAGCCATATGTGCACTGCTGACAGGTCAAATCTGCTTCTCTCTCTTTCAAGTTCAAAGCAAACTTAAATGCAAAAGCATTTTAGATATGTATATAAAATAGCCTGTGTATTAGCCTAATGACATCATCAAATTAAAAATATACAGCAAATGAAAAATAAATGACAGAAAAAGGAATAAAAACAGAATATCTCTAAAATATTCATTATTAATCATATTTACAAGATTAAAACGTGTGGATTGTTTAAAGAAGGCAAATTACTAATGGTGTAGGCATATTTTGCAGGCAGTTTAGACCAGTCATTTCGTTTTTTTTTTTTAAATAAAAAAAATCAGCAATAATTGTAGAGAAGGGTTGCGTGTGTATTTAAAACATTTCAAACACACACACACACACACGCACAGCACACACACACACACACACACACGAACGCACGCACACACACACACACACACACAGGACATGTATCTATTTTAAAAAGTAGACGTAGTAGAAACAATAAAAATGTTTTAATTACAGGTATATTTTAAATAGTTTAATCTACTTATCTCGTGTTCGGCAGAAGAAATAAATTTATTAACGCTTACAACTAGAATGTTCACCGCAATGAAATGAAATTGCCTTTTTGGGTGAACTTTCTCTTTAAGTAGCCTAGTTTCATTCTTAGTTATTTTTTGCACACAGGCCTTCCACTTTGCTGTTGTGTCAGAGTATGAATCTCTTAAGACATGAATTTATAATAACACTGTACTAAACCTTGTGTGTATAATAGTCGTAAGATATTTTAAAGTGTTGTCTTCATGTGGCCTTTTTAAAATGATATATATTTCATAACAGTTTATCTTTTTACTTTTGTACACAGGCCAGACGATGGATAGGTTTATAGATGATTTCCATAAGAATCTTCGAAAGGAAGTATCTGTCCTGAAGGCCACTTCCATTGAGTATTGTGATTTCATACTGTACATCTGCCTCATCACCTCTCGTGCTGGAACTGACATTGATGCTGCTATCAGGAATCTTAATCACGTTGCAGGTTACATACAAATTTCAAACTGACATGCACAATAACACACAATTTATTTAACGATTTCTTACGATCCATTTAACAAACCACTTTCAATTGTCTTGCAGCTGACATACAAGTCATCATGGGAGTGCTTTTTCTCACAATTGACCCTGAGAAAACCATACCAGACACCAACAGTGCTAGAAATGAAGAGAACATATATTTTGTGGACTTTCTGTTCAACGAGGATGAAGGGTTCATGAATTGTCAGAAGAATAAAGATGCAATCAAGAAACTTGCGAGGTACATGAAGTCCAAGGTAGGTCTCCTTATCAACATGGCTATTGTCATGGCATTTTCTCAACTATAATTTATTTTCTAGTGGTATTGCATTAATTGGAAGTTCAAAAGTCATAATTGTTGTTGTCTGTAAAGGAGTATTTTATCCTTTTTATTGTTTTAATGCATGCATTTTTATTATATTTATTTCCAATTCAGAATCTGACTTCATATTACTTGCAAAGTAAGTATAAGTTTAAATTATTCTCTACAGTATGCAATTCTTAAAACAATTGAGGAATGTTAAGAAATAAAAAAGATTGTATTTTATATAAAAAAATGTGCTTCATTTTTGTTTTATGGAAGTTCATGGAAGTTCACGTACAAGCTCATACCAGGATGGAGAAGAGAAGAACTCAGAGGCACAAAATGGATCCGGTGGAATTTTAGATCATATAAAAAAACATCCTGTTGCTTTTGGTGTTATTTTTGCCACAATTGTAACTGGGGTAATTATATGCAGAAAAGCATGGAGAGCCAAAACAACACTAATTTCAACACTTCCAACAGTGTTGCACTTTGTTCCACACATAGACAGATCACACATCTACAGATGTTTTGACAATTGAACTTGATGTTTCATCAGAGCCATTTGAAAGTTCAATATAGTGTCACTCTGATTACAATTTAAACCCTAAAGGGCAACTTGGCTGGCAAATCTTTCACGTCTAATGTTTCTTTGGTCACCAATACCAAAGACAGCAGTTTGAATGAAGGTATAAATGCTGTAACCGTGTATGAAAACAAACTGGACCTTGGAATTCTCATCAAGCATGTCCTGTGAATGATATGCTTCCCAGCCACAGGATGACCTTTTTATCCATGACGATGTAGCAGCTGCTGATCGCTCGTCTGGTGGTTCATGATGCAAGGACATTTGGTAGCTGATTCTCATCTTAAAACTCTTCAAGACTCCAGCATGACTGAGAGAAATGTTTAAAAAACAAATTGCAATCCCCACCCACATTTCTTCAGTTTCAGATCGCTATAGCTGTCTCTCCAGAACCCTCAATTTAACACAACATTTAACATTTTTTATTGATGCAGACTTCCCACAAATATGCCCTACAGTGTAATAAATATCCATAAGCTATCCATAAGTTTTCTGTATTTTGTGATTTGTGTTCCACCAACTCTGGAAATACACCATGTCAATCTGTCTTTATCCAGCCATCGTCACTCTCAGGGTCTTGTATTATTGTATGGAGAACTGTGACTGTTAACAACAAAACAATACAATTGTATCTAACACATATAAATAATCTTCTGATTTAAAAAAAATAAAAATAAAAAAAGCAAAATCTACCTTCAGCTATGAACATCACAAAGCATGCCTCACGTGTCTTTACATATCTTTTAGCTCAGGTACTGATTCTTGATGATAAGTCTACAAATCAAACCTGTAAATAATACAATATACAAGAATATAAAGTTTTAACAAAGCAATTTTACTGTGTTTAGATGCATTTGTTAGGTAACTATACAAAGGCAACAAATTATCCATTTAAATATTAATTTATATAAAATAAATAAACATTACATGGTGACATGTATTCCATAAAATGCAATATTATCTAGAGGTATTGCATAGGCAGATGCAGAGGCCTTCCCATGCTAATTTTGGTTCTAAAATACAGAATAAAGTGTCAGTTTTATTTTATAGGTGAACAAACACTTTTAATTTCTGATAAAGCACAAAACGCAGTCATTTGAACACACTCACGTGCTTTTAGCTATTAATTTTAATAACTGACAATATGTTATAGTATTCAAGTACTAACGTTAAGCAACCACAAATGATCTGCCAAAATTCACAACTACTGCAGTATTTTTTAATAATTGAACTACAAATGCACGAATAATGATATTTCTTAGCAAAATAGGTTAACGTTATAATAAATTTAAGTTGATTCACTTACCATATGCTTTAACAACTCTCCAAAAGGAGGGAAAATGGGTGGTGGTAGTAAGTTATATTGCAAGGGCAGGGACTTCCCTTGATCGTTAGGCTGCTAAAATATGAATCAGTTAATTCATTTTACAGACAGGTGGCTGTTTACAACACACTACATGCCTTTAACGAAACGGAAATGCTGTGTGCATGCAAAGTTTAGCTGATAGTTTTAAGCACAATATCATGCTGGGGGGAAAATCTGACTATAGACCTAGCCTAACGTTACTAACGTTAAATGTCCGAGAAAGTGTAAACGTGGTAATTTGCAAACACGGTCATTTAAACACACGGATGTTAATGTTCTAATGTTAATAGTTGTCAACACTTAATATGATTCAGTTAAATTGGCTTCAGATATCAGAATTGGATGTCTCATTTTTAATCCAACAAATGAAGCAGTTTCCACAGATTGACTTCTGTGTGGCCGATTAAGGGGAGAAAATTAAAAGAAGAAACATCAAATGCGGGATAAAAACTGAAAGTGAAAAAAAAAACGTAAAATAAAAAGTAAAAGTAAAAAAAAAAAAAACTGAAGCCAACTATCATTTATTAGACAAGAAAACTAACTGGCCTGCACATTCAACTGTCCTTAGTCAAAATTTGGCCATTTCAAAAAAAAAATAAAAAAAGAAATAACACAATAATAATGAATTCTTCGGAATTTCCCTAGCCTCTTTGGTAAAAAATAAATAAATAAATAAATAAAAAGTAAATTCCTGGAAATCAACAATAGCCAAAATATATTTAAATTAATTTAATATGGTCCGCTTTTGGTGCTTCACATCTTTTTATTGCTTTTTTTAATTTCAGAAATAAGGTCTAAGATTTAGAATAAAGTCACCTGTAAACATTTTTCTCTGTTTAAAAACAATACAGTAGTGAAAGAAGACTTTCTCCAGGTCATAATTTATTTTGTTTATATTAATTTTGTCTACAAAATGATTATACCTGTCCAGTTTCATCTGGAATGCATCCCAGATCACATTTGAAATGGTTTGAGCGATCAAATGTATATCAGAATAAAACCATTGAGCACATTTTGCTGTGAAGTGACATCTGACGGCTGAGGGCTCTGCTTGCCATTAAAGCCTTCATCAGACAGGTATATTTTTTAAAAAATGTAAAAAATAGGGAAATGGAGTACTGAACAAGTCAATAAATATACAAAACGTCCCGGCTATATTATATCCTGGCATTATTGTGGCTTTGAGGCTCCATGGGACTTAAAATTACACTTTATTACAACATATATTGAATATAAAAATGTTATATTAATTATATAATAAATATATTTTACATAATTAAATTACCTAAATTAATTTAAAAAGACAAATTCTGGACCTTTTGGCCGTGGGGAGTGGTTCGTTCGAACCACCCGAACCCCCCTGGTTATGGGCATGACCCCTTCGCTTTCAGCTAAAAACTCTTAAAGGGAAAAAACATCAAGAATAACTTGTGAATTCTGTCACATGAATAAATATATGCGCCACACCAGCCCCCCAGTATTCACAGAAATTTACACATCCAGACGAACAGGAGGGCAAATACTTCGACCCATTCTCGTCCGGGTCTCTGTTGGCTGCTGCCAGAAAAATCTGGAGCAGCAGGTGGCTCAGCTGGCTTGATGGAAAGAGAGTAGGCGGATCCAGGTCTCAAGCGGTTTCAAGCGGTCAATTGAAACACATTACGAAAATGGAAGGATGTTGCGATCCAGACCATGGATTGCTGACACTAAGGACAACATCGCCAGGCACTGCCCATGTGTCTGCCCATACACCAATTCCACCGAAGAAACCTGGAGATCCTCTTTGGGGCCTGTTCAAAGCCCTAGCAATACCCAAGGGAGTTTGTCATACCAGTTGTCATCCTTCAGGGCAGCCCGCAGTGCAGACTTCAAGAAGCAGTGGAACTGTTCACACAAGCCATTCACTTGTGGATGATAAACCGTAGTGTGATGAAGCTTAACACCCAGATTACGTGCACCAGCTGCACAAACCTCAGATGTGAACTGTGGTCCACGGTCTGAGTAGACGAAGGTGTGCCAAATCTGGCAATCCATGTGCTAATGAAAGCACATGCAATATCCCCAGTTGATGTTTACTCTAAGGGCATGACTTCTGGCCACCTAGTAGTCTGGTCCACCATCGTAAGCAGGTGAGCGTATCCCCAAGATAGAGAAAGAGGACCAACAAGATCAATGCTTACATGGTCAAAACTATGCTCCAGGCACCTCAAAACGCACCAATGGTGCTTTAACATGATGCTGCACGTTTGCTATTTGACAAGCTATGCATGAAACAGACAAATTTCGCACATCTTTTTTAAGGTCTGGCCAGACAAATTTTCGAAGCCAGCAACCATTGGGAGTCTTAAGCGCCTGAGTGAAACAAACCATGAAGAATGTCAAAAACATGCTGTCTCACAGAAGCGTTGCACAGAAGAGACACTCCAGCCTCCTCAAACGCAACATCGACCAAAAGACTGGACATCTGGGTCAGAACTCTGGTGGAGTATTTGACCCCCAAGTGTATTGGAATTTGGCCAAGAAAGGTAATCCGCTACTAAATTTGATTTCCCTGAAACATGCTGAATATCGGTAGTAAATTTAGAAATGTAAGCCAAATAGCGATGTTGGGGAGCAGACCAGGACTCTGAAATGTTTGACATTGCAAAAGTCAGTGGTTTGTGATAAACAAATAGGGTGAAGATCCGACTGTAGTATAGTTTGTTGTTGTGTGGGAAGAAGAAGACAGGGTTGGCAACATAAGGTAAGTAGTAGTTTTTTTATTTTTATAAATGCGCAACATGCGTGAAGCTGTGTGTGTGTGTGCTCTCCTCTTTCCCGGCTGCTCTTTCTAATCTCCTTAAGGGTGTCTCTCCGGCCCAATCACAAGAATAAACAGGTGTTATTTATTAATTCTGATTGGCCTGATGATTAGCCGCCGGGATCTAAGCATGCTCTCCCGCCTCATTGGGTGTTCGATCCTGGGGCTGCACCTGCCCATGACCTAAGTGGAAGCCCACATACCTTACCTCCACTTCTGTGGGTTGGCCGTGAGCCTGGCCCGTCTCAGCCCTGACAATACCTCCCTCAGATGTTGCATGTGCCGCTGCCAGTCATTACTGTAAATGATGATGTCATCTAAATAAGCAGCGGCATATGCTGCGTGAGGGCCAAGTATTTTATCCATCAGGCTCTGAAATGTCACCGGTACCCCGAACAGCCCGAACGGAAGCGTCACAAATTGGTGTAATCCGAACGGCGTAGTGAAGGCGTTTTTTTCCCGAGATATTGCGATAAGGGGATCTGACAATATCCCTTTGTTAAATCCAATGTCGAGTAATAACAAGCAGCACCTAACCGGTCGAGCAACTCATCAATACGCAGCATTGGATAGGCGTCGAATTTCGACACCGCATTGACTTTTCTATAATCCACACAGAACCAGGACCGAGTCGTCCGTCTTGGGTACCAAGACAATAGGGCTGGCCCTGTCACTGTGGGATTCTTCTACTACAGTACACCCATTTTCAACATATTACTCAATTCTTCCTGAATCACTTTTTTCTTGTGTTCAGGCAGGTGATACGGCCAGGTCCTAACGACCACGCCCGGTTCGGTCTCAATGTGGTGTTGAATCAAATTAGTTCGACCGGGCAGGGGTGAGAACACGTCTGAATGCTCACGTTGAAGGTGCCGGATATCGATGAGCTGGCTAGCCAAGAGATGATCGTCCCCGGTGACCAGAGCGCCTGGCCGCAGTCGACCGGTGCTCTCTGGCCCCAGGTCATCCTCATTTGTAACCAGCGTAGCCAACATCACCTCCTCCGGCTCACTCCACTGTTTTAGCAGATTAATATGATATATTTGACGTGAACCAGCCCTATCCGAATGAACTACCTCATAATCGAGATTGCTGACTCGTCGTGTGACCACAAACAGACCTTGCCACTTGGCGAGTAATTTGGGGATGCAAATGGGTAGTAGTACAAGGACTTTATCTCCCTGTGAAAATTTACGTAGTTTAGTGCCCTTATCATAACGCTGGCGTTGATCATCCTGGACCTTGAGCAAATTCTCTGTAGAGAGCCGCCCCAATGTTTGGAGTTTTGAACCAGAGAGAGACCTGACTCTGTCTTAGAAGCAGCCAGGGGTCGAAACCTGAAAGGCGCGCCCCTTTAGCGGAACCTGTTGTGGATTCACCTCTGTGCACCACTGTCTGGGTGCTGGTGTGGGTGGTCTCTGCACTCTGGGCCTGGGAATAGGACGGGGGAGAGAGAGAGAGACAGAGAAAGAAGGGGAGAAGAGAAAGAGGTTATTTCGCCAACCCTGGACCTCGCCACCAGGTGATCCTCCGCCAGCCGGATGGCCGTCTCCAGATTGTCTGGCCGGTGGCACTTGACCCACTCTGATGTTCGGGAGGGGAGGCGGGTGATGAATTACTCAAGTACCACGGCATCCACCAGCTGGGCTGTGGTTCGGCCATACTGTATCAGCCATCTGCGGCAGGCGTCACTTAGCTGCTGGGCGAACACGAAGGCCTGTCTGCTGGATAATGGCTCGCTTCAGGTGAGCGTACACAAGGCCTCTACGAGGACTTGGAAGCGTCGTTCCAGATTTTCTCTCAGCTCCACCAGTGCACAATGTTGTTGTTGGTGGAGGACCGTGAGCGCCATGATGACTTCCACACATGGATCGGTAGACGAAGTAACCATTCTGGCAGTGAAGTTTCTTCTTCCTGGGTTACGTCACCACTGTAGTAAAGTTCGTTGTGGTGTAGGAAGAAGATTTGTGAAAGAAATTTGACTTTAAAATTACATTGTTTTGGTCTTGGTTGAAATTGTGTGCAAAAGAAGTTCAAGCATTTTAAGTTGGCCTTAACTGGATCCATTTTGTATCAAAGCAACAAGAAATGTGTTATTTGTATAGCCCACAAAGATGGATGTTGTGCTAACTGTGTTAAGAGTTTAGGAAACGTGTTAAATGTATTAAAAACAGTGTCATAGGCATTGTAAAAAACTGTAATAAAGGTGCCTCCTTCCCTGTAAAAAAAAAGCACATATTGCTTAAACAACTATATATTTTCCTTTTAGCAAATAATTGCCACGATATATATTTATTGTTAACTATATATTTAAATTGTCTTAAAATTACATCATGTATAATCAATAAAAAGCACACAGATTTTTTTCATTATATTTTTTAACTAAACATAATGCTGTTATTGATCAAGAATGGAAACGTCAGTTTTGAAATAACCCACTATGAATTGAGCAGACTGTAGTGTAGTAGTTGTTAGGGGCGCCTGCAGGATTTTATTCCAAGGTACGCACATATCTAGCGTAAGATAGATTATTTTAAATAATATTATTTTCTGTTAGATTCAGGCTACCAATAAATAACTTCAGTTATTAATGTTTTACTTTCTGCCTAAGGTTATTAAAAATTAGTTGCTGTAAATTAGTAGCTGCACTGACCAAGTACTGGAGGTTTATCTGCTTACGAAAGTGAAAGTCAAGCTTGAATAAATTACAAATTAAAGTAGCTGCACAGTGACTCATGATTCAGCACTCAAGCATCAAGCAGCAGCACAAACCTCTCTGCGTCTCAAGATAAAAACAGTGAGTAACCTACTTTAAATCACTCCAAATATTTTCTCAAACATACCACTATAATGTGTGCTGTGTTAGTCTTGTGTGAATAAGTAATAAGGTATGAAAGTGCATTATGACCGATCGAGCCTAGAAAAAAAAAACAGTTTAGAGCATTCTGTAATAACCAAATTGATTAAAATGCCGGGCTAAAATGAATTCGCTTTAAAAAGAACACTTTGTTTTCCACAGCAATCAGATTGCTCGATGTACTCCTCACAAGTTTGACGACAGCCCAGTGCTGCTGCAACACAGGTTAAATATTAATCCAAGATAGAAAGAGGGAGAGAGAGAGGTCATCTATGCATGTGTAGATTACGCCCAAAGCAATAACAGTACCGCCCAGCTGCTGGAGATAATGTAAACAATTTTGGTCGTAATTATACCTTGATGTGAGATGTTTTTTCGAAAAAAAGAAAAAAAAAGTCAGTAACACGGCAAGAAAAGTCTTGCATGTTTCTTAAATATAATAAAAATAGACACGTTTCTATTTTAAATAGTACGGAGTGGAAATAGTAAATAGTTTTAATCTACTTATCTTATTTTGTGTTCAACAAAAGAAATAAATGTATAAATTTTATGAACCAGAATGTTCCACTAGTAAATGGTTGTGAAATCTTGATTTTGGGTGAACTATCACTTTAAGTAACCTAGTTTTGTTATTATGAGATTATTTCCCTCTTTTGAACACAGCCCCTCCCATCACTGTGCAGTTGTGTCAAAGGCCAAGCAGTGATATTGTAGACTACTGCAGAGTATAAATGTCTTAAGGGATGTACTGAAACTTTGTGTGCATAAAATCGCAATATGTACAATATTTTGAAGTGCTGTTTTCATGTGCATTTTAAAATTGTACTCTTTATATTCTTAACCAGTTTATTCTTTTACTTTTACTTTGTACACAGGCTGAACAATGGATAAGTTCATAGGAGACTTTCAGAGACGTCTTCATAAGGAAGTATATGGCCTGAGGGAGGTCACTATCCTTGAGCAATGTGGTTTCATACTGTATTTCTGCCTCATTACTTCTCGTGCTGGAACTGACATTGATGCTGCAATCAGGAATCTGATGCTTGTGCAAGGTAACTCACGAATTTAAAGCTTGGTTCACGATAAATCACAATTTATTTACTGATTATTTACTGTGCATTTGAATTGTCTTGCAGCTGACAAACAAGTCATCATTGCTGTGCTTTATCCTACAATTGACCCTGAGAAAACCATACCAGACAGCAACAATGCTATAAAGAAAGAGAACACATATCTAGTCGACTTTCTGTTCAACGAGGATGAAGGGTTCATGAATTGTCAGAAGAATATAGATGCAATCAATAAACTTGCATGGTACATCAAGTCCAAGGTACGTCTGCTTATCACCATGACTATTGTCATGATATTTTCTCAACTATAATTTATTGACAAAAATATAACAAAGTTTTATGTATTTTTAATGATTTTGATGTATTCTCTTAATTGTACTTTTTTTTTTTTTGATGCTGTTGTAGAATAATTATCTAGTGTTATTGCATTAATTGGAAGTTCAAAAATCATAATTGTTGTAGTCTCTAAATGAGAATTTTATCATTTTTATTGTTTTAATTCATACATTTTTATTATATTTATTTCCAATTCAGAATTTGACTTCATATTATTGGCAAAGTAAGTATTCTAAGTTTAAATTATTCTTTATGATTCTCCTGCAGTGTTTTATCAAAATGTATTAATTATACAATTCTTAAAACAAATGAGGAATGTTATGAAATTTGCTCTTTGTATTTGTGCTTCATATTTTGTTCCGAAAGATTATGGAATTCCACGTACATACACAAACCAGGATGGAGAAGGTATTCCCTCACCCACCGGAGGACACAGAGGACACATATTCTGTGGATGTGTAGATTGTTTCAGACAACATCCTGTTGTTTTTGCTCTTAGTATTGTTGTCATTTGTAGCACTGTTTTTGGAATAATTCTAGGGTATTTTATTATACCAGCTATCTAAATGAACACAGAAATGAAACAAAAAATAGTGACATTTTCGGAAAAAAAAAAGGATGCCAGAACACCATAATTATAGCAGCAATTTTTCAGCTTTTACAGATTTAACTGACTTAACAGATTTAACAACAAACTACCGTAATTCACTAACTGATAAGAAGTTATTGTAGCACTAATATTTGTAAGTTATTTTTGTAAAACACTAGTAAAAACACAAAAGAAACACCCATGATAAACCAAAGTTAATTACAAACATCTTAGAAAAAGGGTGATGAAGTACAGAAGGTGTCTTTCACACTACACTAACCATCATTGTAAAACACAACATCAATGTGATGCAAAATTCTGCAATATTACACAAAGCATGAAACACTTTACATAACTTATGAGAAAAACTAAAAAGGAATTCATTGAATAGGCAGGTTGGGATAATTAGGTAAGTGATTTTATCACAATGTTTTTTTTTCTGTAGACTATCAAAGAAAAAAAAAAACCCTAAAGGGGCTAATAATTTTGACCCTAAAATGTTTTTTTTTAAATGTAAAACTGCTTTTATTTGAGCCGAAATAAATAAAGACTTTCTCTAGAAGAAAAAATATGAGCAGACATACTGTGAAAATTTCCTTGCTCTGTAATCATTACGGAAATATTTTAAAAAAAGAAAAAAAAAACTAAACACATGCTCACATGATACATGCGAATTTTAAAAATTGTTTGTGAACTTCCGATATATTTTAATATTTCTCGAAAACAAACTTACATCCAGTTTAAGTCTCTTCACGCAGTGTATTATATGAAGCTTAGCAACATTACTACTGAAATTTACAATGGCTGTGTTTTTAACTGCAAAATGCTGTAAAAATGCTGCAATAAAAATTAGTTTGTCAGATCATAAGATTTTTTTCTTGATAAAATCTTGACTTGTCATGGGTAGCAAATGTGCCAGACTACACGTTCCTTCATGATCAGTCATCCTGTGACATCTACTATGAGTGTTATTTCCCAAAGCAGTCACATTGCTATAACAATATTTTTTTAAATCTCATTTTCATTTTTTTTAATCTTATTTTAATCTCAATAAACACTGATGCTTGCAGACACTAATAACTAGGCTACATTATTTAAGGGCGCTCATTAGGATCAAACCTATAATTCCTTTTTAACAGGAGTGTAGCCACGAGTGTGCCGGTGCCTACAATAGATGCATATATATACATACATTTGTCAGCGATTTCTCAAAACCTGTCGGCGAGTCAAAATTGGGGCTAAAATCATGCAGTCTGAACTAGGCATTAAGGCTCTATGCTGACTATTTGTAAATATTGGCTACTGTAGCATAAAACAATTTTGTTGTTTACATATGATATTGCATTAATTTGCATACGTGTTTTATAAGCTGTAAAATGAAAATCTTAGCTTTGGATTTGTTTGATTGGTAGATAAGGCTATGTTGGCTAATTAAAGATTAACATTATAACTATTAATAACTGTTATTTTCCAAATGGAAAAAAAGGTTTGTTTGTTGGTTGAACACTAAGTCATCAGTAGCCTGTTTATTGAGTTTATGACACGGCTTCAGGCAGCACAGAGGCGATCAGCATCAGCGCTGGTTTGTCAGCTTGTCTGTCAAGCTGTGACCAGAATATCCTTCTTTCATTTTAGTTCTTTAACAAAATACATCTGTAGGCACGTGTGGTACATTACTGTTACTGCAGGCGCTTTTCCATTCCAAAAACACAAGGCGCACTGATAACAAAAAAACAAACAAAAAAAAAAAAAAGAGCGCGGTGCTCTTTTTTATGTCACAAGAAACGACTGAATCAGCTGAGCCGAAATGTTTCGCGAGTGTTCCTGTCAATGTTGTGATAATTGTAATTTCAATAGCATTAAGATTTTCAAAACTTTTAAAAGTCATAGTCTTCAGCTTTGAATTACTTTATTGGCGCAGCCACTTTGTATAAGATAACCGGTAAATAATCTTAGATTACACGAAGGTAAAATAACACACTTCTCTCCTAGGTTTTCTGAAACCGCACACCCGATAGTAACACTAACAGACTTGAAGCAGCGACCACAAGTTTCTCCTCCATCAATAAAAGCTCGCTGTAGTAGTCTTGACAACACAAACTCTGCTGTCACCTCAAAGGAAAAGCGTTTGCTTTCATTTGATTGAAGACTGAAAAAGACGCAAGGTAAAACGCTTTTTCCACTTGAGCGTACATCACGCCCAATGGCAAAACGTTAGTAAACCATTCAAAAGATGCACTTCTCAGTGTCAATGCAAAAAGTTTTAGCTGTGATCGGCCCCGTATGCAGCCAAACACTAAAAATATGTAAAACAATATTTTTTAATCATTTAACTGATGCAATTAATCGGTTACAAATGCACCCTTTCGGTTAATAGTTAAACGCTTATTTTAAGCATCCCTACTTGGGGAAAAAAAAAAGAATTCGAATCGGATCGGTAGGCTTAAGGATTGATATTCTGAATTATGGAGATCAGATTGGTTCCAATGGGATTGCATCCCATTTTAAAATAATCTAATAATAACAAATTAAACCGTGATTTCACGTTTTTAGCCAAAAAGCCTGATAGATTAATTGTTGTGCAATGAAATATAGCGTTACTAACCGACGAGGAAACACATAGACAGTGTTTCTACATTATTTATTTATAGAAAGAACGGGGAAAATGATGGATTAGTGCCGAATATTAGCATCATTAACCCATAACAATGTACAGCATCTAAACTGTCAGTATGTTTGTGTGCTCTTTATACAGTTTCTATTGTAATTTGCAGTTAAGTAGAAAAAATAAATAAATTGAATTACAAGTGAAAGTATAAATAACAGAAGTAAACAAATAGATTTTCCCTATCAGCAAATATTAGTCCGATAAAAGCAGACGCTAACACACTATAATGACTAAATCTCTAAACAATGGACGAAAAGATAAGTGAATTGTAGCTCTAACTTGGACATGAGGCTTAAAAAACTACAGAAAAAAGCTGCGGATGAAGAAAATTAATCGCAAGTGATGCTGGGTCCGGAACAGATGGAAATATGATTGCTATTAGTATGACTACGGCGAGGGCTTAAACGGAGAATGCTCATAATATCGAGCAAAAAAAAGACAGCTGGGAAACATAACCTGCTTTGTATTTTTAGGGTAAGAGGTGTGTGAGTTATTGTCATCTGTCATTGAATGTGTCAAGAATCGAAAACAAAACCAACTTAACTCTGCTCCTTTAGCACCCCTCCTCACACAGCTTGATCCACGTTGGCATTTCCCCCCTTGGATTTTTGATTTGAAAAGGGAAAATTCCACCACCCCATATAAACTTTTAGGATACCAGGTATCAGATTTGCACAATCCATGTGCATTTGTCCTGCTTCCCTCGCTCTAAAGCTTGACAGGCCACCTGCCCATGGTTACGGTTGCTAAGCCACGATTGGTCTGTGGCTAAGTAAAGGGTCAATTATGTAATGAATCAATAATTTATCGATAACGATAATTTTTCAAATAGCATTTACCGGTTGTTGATATGGCATGTATATACATGAAATATATAATGTGCTGTTTACGCCAGATATGATCACTTTCTTCAGCATTTCTACAACTCCTTATTTAGATCTTTAAATTTGTAAAAGGAATTCCATTGCTAAAAACACTTATACCAAACTGGATTAGCTTTAGTAATTACATTATGTGAGTTATGGTGAAGAGATATTATTCATTCTGTTATGTTTTTAAATATTACTATGAATGATGACAAAATGCTTTTTGAGAAACTTGTGCTTTATGCTAATTGCTTTGCTCAGCCCTTTACAGTTTTGATTTGTTACAGTATGTTTGTTATAGTCAAAGAAAAAAAGAGTTTATATACCGAAAGATCTTGTCTGGCAAGAGTCATTTAATGAATGCTCTAATAAAAGATTACATGTTCACAGTGCAGCATGCAAATGGTGATTAATTGTCATTTTAAATCTTTACACTTTGCTGTTATATTTAAAGCCACAAAGTTTTACCCATTTATCAGTAAGACAATTTCTAGCATTTAAAATCTTATACAATATATAATGAGCACTTATTGTTTTATGTTAACTATTGCATGTCATAAGTGTGTTGTATCAATTTTGAATAAATATGTTATGCTGAATGCCAAGTGGATGTTTAATATTCTTTCTATGCAAATAAAAATCTCTCTTTGTAAACTGAATTGGCTTCAGCTATCAGAATGGGGCATCTTTTCATTGTTTGACTTTATATTTCTTAGAACATATGTACTATTTAAACTGGTTAATTTTCAATGGCTGGTACTTTACAAAAAATTGGAAAAAAATTATATATATATATATATATATATATATATATATATATATATATATATATATATATATATGTATATATATATAGGCCTATATATATATTCACTATATATATATATAGGCCTATATATATATTCACCACACACACACACACACACACACACACACACACACATATATATATATATATATATATATATATATATATATGTGTGCGTGTGTGTGTGTGTGTGTGTGTGTGTGTGTGTGTGTGTTTGGTGAATAACGGAATGTTGATTATAGACAACTTCGCCATTCCCAAAAGTTACAAAATAAATTCAATAAAAGTAAAAACTAAAACCTTGTTATTTGAAAGGCTATAAATGAATAACTCTCTGACAGCAGATATTATCTATTATCAAAATGATCTATTTCAAGCCTTGCTTACACCTCAATCACCTTGGACTAAAGTGAAAGGGTGAAAAAGGCAATAAAACTGAAAGAAAACTTTATCCCATATATTACTAAATATGATTTATATTATATTACATGTTTAACCTATTGTAGCCTTTGTACATTTTTGGATTATTTATTTTTAATCTGTTTAGCAACAAAATAAAATTAGTAACAATTTTCTCTTAGAATCATATAGGCTACTAATAAATGCCTTCAGTTATTGAAGTTTAAAGTTAGAACTCTGAAACACATTTATGTAACAGAACAAAAGCTGCTCCCTCTGCTAACCATCACATGTGTTTCAGTCTCACTCACTGACTCTCTAGAACCCACGTAGTTAAACCAAGGTGGCCCTCTAGTGGAGTCAATACGCAATAACATTATAAGTGCATATAACACAACACTACATAAAAATGAAAGTGAAAGCATTCACTAACTCATGATTCAGCATTTAAACATCAAGCAGCAGCCCAAACCTCTCTCTGCGTCTCAAGATACAACTAGTGAGTAACCTACTTTGTTTTACTTTAATTTACTTTAAACAATTTCCCAAGTTTACCACTGTCAAATGTGTTAGCCTTGTGTGCATGGGTTTATGAGGTTTGAAAGTGCATTCACACCGATCAAACCTAGAAAAAAACTAGCTTGCTTAAAAAAGCACACTGTGTTTTTCCACGACATTTAAATTGCGCAACTTGCTCTCCACAAGCTTAACAGCATACCAGTGCTGCTGCACTGTAGGCTCAATATTAATCCAAGATAGAGAGAGGGAGAGAGGTTATCTATGCGTGCACTGTAGGGTACCGTCCAAAGCAGACCGTGAGTCTCTTCCATCACGGTACAGTTGTGTCGGGGGCCAAGCTCTGGCATTGCAGGCTACCACAGAGTATAAATGTCTTAAAGCATGTACTAAAACTTTGAGTGCATAAAATCGCAATATGTGAGATATTTTGAAGTGCTGTTTTCATGTGCATTTTTAAGAATTGTACCCTTTATATTATAAACCAGTTTATCCTTTTACTTTTACTTTGTACACAGGCTGAACAATGGATAAGTTCATAGGAGATTTTCAGAGACGTCTTCATAAGGAAGTATATGGCCTGAGGGAGGTGTCTATCCTTGACCATTGTGGTTTCATACTGTATTTCTGCCTCATTACTTCTCGTGCTGGAACTGACATTGATGCTGCAATCAGAAATCTTATGCTTGTGCAAGGTCACTTACCAATTTAAAGCTTGATTCATGATCAATCACAATTTATTTACTGATTATTTACTGTGCACTTTTAATTGCCTTGCAGCTGACAAACAAGTCATCATTGCTGTGCTTTATCCTACAATTGACCCTGAGAAAACCATACCAGACAGCAACAATGCTATAAAGAAAGAGAACACATATCTAGTCGACTTTCTTTTCAACGAGGATGAAGGGTTCATGAATTGTCAGAAGAATAAAGATGCAATCAATAAACTTGCAAGGTACATCAAGTCCATGGTAGGTCTGCTTATCACCATGGCTATTGTCATGACATTTTCTCAACTGTAATTTATTGACAAAAATAGAGTAAAGTATTATTTGATGATGATTTTGATGCATTCTCTTGATTTATTTAGTCATTTTTGGAGATGCTGTTGTAGAATAATTATCTAGTTTTATTGCATTAACTGGAAGTTCTAAAATCATGACTGTTTTTTTCGCTTTTCCTTTTTATTGTATTAATGAATACATTTTTATTATATTTATTTCCAATTCAGAATCTGACTTCATATTACTTGCAAAGTAAGTATTCCAAGTTTAACTTATTCTGTATGTTTCTCTTGTTATGTTATATTAAAAAGTATTAATTAAACAATTCTTAAAACAAATGAGGAATGCAAAGGAATAATTTTTTTTAGTATCTTATATTAAATGTGCTTCATATTCATATATTGTACCATATACACTTGTAATCATGTTTATTTTTCTGCACACTACTGATTATTAATAGCAACCTGCACATATATTCATATATTGTAAATCTGCTCATAGCTTATCCAACCTGTATATAATGTTCATAGTACATCCATCTGTAAATATCACCATAGTTTTCTATAACTGCACTTTATAACTTATTCCTGTATCCTGCACTTGCTGCTATTGCACTGCTGGTTAGACCCAAACTGCATTTCGTTGCATTGTACTTTTACATGTGTAATGACAATAAAGTTGAATCTAATCTAATCTAATATTTTCTTCAAAAGATTATGGAATTCCACGTACATACTTATACCAGAATAGAGATTTTCCTGTAACCATCGGAGGACACCGAATCCGAAAAAAATGTTTTTTTTATTTTGGTGTTTTTCTCATTCTCATCATTTGCTTAATTTATCTTCTGGTAATTCAAGGGTATCATGGTAAAACTAACTATCTAAATAAAGACAGAAATGACACTGTAAAACATGATTACAGTTTCTGAACTGATGATGAAAAAAAGAAAAAAAAGACAGCTGTGCTGATGCCAGAAGACCATAAGTATAGGAGCAATTTGTAAGCTTTTACACGTGTAAATTTAATTAACAAACTACCGAAATTTACTCATAACAACTTGTTAAAGCACTAATATATGAAAGTCACATAATAAACCCAAAGCTAATTGCAATTTTAGAAGTGAATTTCAGTAATTGTCACTAAGCTTCATATAACACACTGCATGAAGATAATTGAACTGTGAATGTACAGGTAAGTGTGTATTAGAGATACATTACAATATACACAAAGTTCACACGCAATATTTAAGATTTGCATGTAGTTTGTAACTATTTTGTTTGCAGGAATATATATGCTGTGCTGTTTACCCCAGATATGATCACATTCTTTAGCATTTGTACAACTCCTTATTTAGATCTTTAAGTTTGTAAAATGAATTCCATTGCTAAAAACACTTATACCAAACTGGATTAGCTTTAGTGATTACATTATGTGAGTTATGGTGAAGAGATATTATTCATTCTGTTATGTTTTTAACTATTACTATGAATGATGACAAAATGCTTTTTGAGAAACTTGTGCTTTATGCTAATTGCTTTGCTCAGCCCTTTACAGTTTTGATTTGTTACAGTATGTTTGTTATAGTCAAAGAAAAAAAGAGTTTATATACCAAAAGATCTTGTCTGGCAAGAGTCATTTAATGAATGCTCTAATAAAAGATTACATGTTCGCAGTGCAGCATGCAAATGGTCATTAATTGTCATTTTAAATTTTTACACTTTGCTGTTATCTTTAAAGCCACAAAGTTTTACCCATTTATCAGTAAGACAATTTCTAGCATTTAAAATCTTATACAATATATAATGAGCACTTATTGTTTTATGTTAACTATTGCATGTCATAAGTGTGTTGTATCAATTTTAAATAAATATGTTATGCTGAATGCCAAGTGGATGTTTAATATTCTTTCTATGCAAATAAAAATCTCTCTTTGTAAACTGAATTGGCTTCAGCTATCAGAACGGGGCATCTTTTCATTGTTTGACTTTATATTTCTTAGAACATATGTACTATTTAAACTGGTTAATTTTCAATGGCTGGTACTTTACAAAAAAATTGGAAAGAATTATATATATATATATATATATATATATATATATATATATATATATATATATATATATATATATATATTAGGGGTGTCACGATTTCGATCGAAATTTATGCTCAACTTCGATTATCGAATCAAAAAATAGAATCGTCAATGCTGCCACTGCCCCATGTCATGTCAGCTTGGCTTGCCAAGCGAGAAAAAACAGGCTTGTTGAAGTGCTTGTTAAACTGCAGACGCAGGAGACCCGTCAACAGAACTTAAACCCTCTCCTCTTTCAATGAAGTCGCCGGTGTGTAAGCATTTTGGATTTCCAGTGAGTTATGTTGACAACGTTCGTGTTGTCGACAAAAAAAACACAGTTTTGCTAGCTCTGCTATGTATTGTGTACGGTTTGTCCGATAGACAACACAGCATCGCAATCCTCCGCCCACCCCCGTTGCAAATCTGCTTACGAAAAGTACACACTTAGGCCCTGTTTACACTGTGTTTGTTTTTAAATGGCATTTTAGAACGACAACGATTTGACATCCACAGTGGCGTGTAGCATTTCTTAGCAGCCCTCCTTCCTCTCTACCTCTGAAACATCACGTGACCACACAGACACAGACGCACACACAGCCATGAGCTTGAGACAGCAGGTCCAGGCAGTCAGAGGACTGCTTCAATCTTTCACTCACTTGTACTTTGTCAATTTAGCAAACACCTCAGATACTGTTGGCTGGTTCCTGTTGGTTGTGCGTCTTTTTTACAGACGCCATTATAACGACACAGATCACTGCCTATTCATGAGTCCCGCAGAAAAAGTGATTGACAGGTGTTAATTATGTGTGTATCTTGCCTTTATTCATTTACTGTATGATTTGTTTATCGGTAAAACAAAGACCATGCAGGTCTGGTAGTTTAAACGGTAGGCTACAAATAATTAATTGGTAATTAATTAATTAATTATTCATAATCGAAAATCGAATCGAATCGTACCTTTAGAATCGAAAATGTAATCGAATCGAGGATTTGGAGGATCGTGACACCCTTAATACTTAATATATATATATATATATATATATATATATATATATATATATGTGTGTGTGTGTGTGTGTGTGTGTGTGTGTATGGTGAATAACGGAATGTTGATTATAGACAACTTCGCCATTCCCAAAAGTTATAAAATAAATTCAATAAAAGTAAAAACTAAAACCTTGTTATTTGAAAGGCTATAAATGAATAACTCTCTGACAGCAGATATTATCTATTATCAAAATGATCTATTTCAAGCCTTGCTTACACCTCAATCACCTTGGACTAAAGTGAAAGGGTGAAAAAGGCAATAAAACTGAAAGAAAACTTTATCACATATATTACTAAATATGATTTATATTATATTACATGTTTAACTAATTGTAGCCTTTGTACATTTTTGGATTATTTATTTTTAATCTGTTTAGCAACAAAATAAAATTAGTAACAATTTTCTGTTAGAATCATATAGGCTACTAATAAATGCCTTCAGTTATTGAAGTTTCACTTTCTGCCTCGGCTAATAAAAGTTAGATACTGTAAATCAGCAGCTGCACTGACCAATTACTGGAGGTTTATCTGCTTATGAAAGTGAAATCAAGCTTGAACTGTAGTGTTTTCTTCTTGTGCAGTGTATATTATAGACCGCGTACACAGAGAGTTAGAACTCAGAAACACATTTATTTAACAGAACACAAGCAGCTCCAACTGCTAACCATCACATGTGTTTCAGTCTCACTCACTGACTCCGTAGAACCCACGTAGGTAAACCAAGGTGGCTCTCTAGTGGAGTCAATACGCAATAACATTATAAGTGCATATAATTCTACACCACATGAAAATGAAAGTGAAAGCATTCACTAACTCATGATTCAGCATTTAAACATCAAGCAGCAGCCCAAACCTCTCTCTGCGTCTCAAGATACAACTAGTGAGTAACCTACTTTGTTTTACTTTAATTTACTTTAAACAATTTCCCAAGTATACCACTGTCAAATGTGTTAGCCTTGTGTGCATGTGTTTATGAGGTTTGAAAGTGAATTCACACCGATCGAACCTAGAAAAAAACTAGCTTGCTTAAAAAAGCACACTGTGTTTTTCCACGACAATTAAATTGCGCAACTTGCTCTCCACAAGCTTAACAGCATACCAGTGCTGCTGCACTGTAGGCTCAATATTAATCCAAGATAGAGAGAGGGAGAGAGGTTATCCATGCGTGCACTGTAGGGTACCGTCCAAAGCAGACCGTGGGTCTCTACCATCACAGTGCAGTTGTGTCGGGGGCCAAGCTCTGACATTGCAGGCTACCACAGAGTATAAATGTCTTAAAGCATGTACTAAAACTTTGAGTGCATAAAATCGCAATATGTGAGATATTTTGAAGTGCTGTTTTCATGTGCATTTTTAAAAAAAATTGTACTCTTTATACTCTAAACCAGTTTATCCTTTTACTTTGTACACAGGCTGAACAATGGATAAGTTCATAGGAGATTTTCAGAGACGTCTTCATAAGGAAGTATATGGCCTGAGGGAGGTCACTATCCTTGAGCATTGTGGTTTCATAATGTATTTCTGCCTCATTACTTCTCGTGCTGGAACTGACATTGATGCTGCAATCAGGAATCTTATGCTTGTGCAAGGTCACTTACCAATTTAAAGCTTGATTTATTATGAAACACAATTTTAACTGATTATTTACTGTGCACTTTTAATTGCCTTGCAGCTGACAAACAAGTCATCATTGCTGTGCTTTATCCTACAATTGACCCTGAGAAAACCATACCAGACAGCAACAATGCTATAAAGAAGGAGAACACATATCTAGTCGACTTTCTGTTCAATGAGGATGAAGGGTTCATGAATTGTCAGAAGAACAAAGATGCAATCAATAAACTTGCAAGACACATCAAGTCCATGGTAGGACTGCTTAACACCATGGCTATTGTTATGGCATTTTCTCAACTATAATTTATTAACAAACATAGAGTAGTTTTATATTATAATGGTTTTGATGCATTCTCTTGATTTATTTTTTGGAGATGTTGTTGTAGATTAATTATTATCTAGTGTTATTGCATTAACCGTAAGTTTTAAAATCATGACTGTTGTTGTCTTTAAAATAGATTTTTCTCTTTTTGTTGTTTTAATGCATACATTTTTATAATATTTATTTCCAATTCAGAATCTGACTTCATATTACTTGCAAAGTAAGTATTCCAAGTTATATTAAAATGTATTAATTATACAATTCTTAAAACAAATGAGGAACGTAAAGGAATATTTTTTTAGTATCTTATATTAAATGTGCTTCATATTTTTCTCCAAAAGATTATGGAATTCCACGTACATACCAGAATGGAGAAGATTCTCTTGTGCCCATCGGAGCCGGAGGACACCGAATTCGAAAAAAATGTGTTATTTTTCTTTTTCTCATTGTTATTATCATTCTCATCATTTGCTTCATTATTTTTTGGACAGTTTTAAGGCATCATGTTGATACTAACGATATAAATAATTACAGAAATGACACTGTAAAAAAGTATAACAGTTTCTGAAAAAGAAAAAAAAGACAGCTGTGGATGCCAGAAGACCATAATTATAGGAGCAATTTGTAAGATTTTACAGATTTAAATTTAATTAACAAAGTACCGGAATTCACTAATAACAACTCATTAAAGCACTAATATATGAAAGTCACATGATAAACCCAAAGCTAATTACAATTTTAGAAGTGAATTTCAGCAGTGATTGTCACTAAGCTTCATATAACACACTGCATGAAGATAATTGAACTGTGAATGTAAGTGTGTTTTTGAGATGTATTACAATACACATGAAGTTCACAAACACTTTTTAGGATTTGCATGTAGCATGTAACTATTTTGTTTGCAGAAATATACATGCTGTGCTGTTTACCCCAGATATGACCACTTTTTTTTCGCATTTTCGCATAACTCCTTATTTAGATCTTTAAGTTTGTAAAAGGAATTCCATTGCTAAAAACACTTATACCAAACTGGATTAGCTTTAGTAATTACATTATGTTAGTTATGGTGAAAAGATATTATTCATTCTGTTATGTCTTTAAATATTACTATGAACGATGACAAAATGCTTTTTTGAGTAACTTTTGCTTTATGCTAATTGCTTTGCTCAGCCCTTTACAGTTTTGAATTGTTACAGTAAGTTTGTCATAGAGGAATCATCAACCTACGTCACACATGACGTCACAAGGGCTCCCGGTTGCAAAAAGAGACCAATTGCAATAGCAAACATGTTGTTTTGTGGTAGGATGCCAAAATAGAAAATCCAAAAATAGAAATCTTAAACTTTACCATACACCACACTGATTTTAATGCCAACCGCAGACGTCTTTGGCTAAAAGGGAGCTGAATGGAGTTAGGACCTATTAAAAATGCTCGACTCTGCAGTTCTCATTTCAAATCAGGTAAAGTTTGTGCTATGCTGAATCATATGCATTAGTAGTTTTGATAGCAGCAATGATTCCAGCAAAAACAGTTAAATATGGTTAATTAAACTGCGGACACTGAATGCTAAGAAGGAAACGTGAAAGTGTACAGGTGCAGTTCGCTGTCAGAATGCAGTCGTTTTAATTGTTGATGATTTATTACCCGGGCCTTGAACAGTTCCGTCTTATTTCTTTGTCTTTGGCAAAGGCAGAACCTTGGTTTTTATTACTACATAGTTTTGAATCTGGTAATCATGGAAAATTATTTCTTGCACATAACCACACCGAACAAAACTGTAGGCCTTTAACTTCTCTCTCGTAAAATCACTTAGAGCTTCAATGAGATTGTATATTTGGGGCTGGATGCTTGGCCATTGTGTTTTATCCAATATCCATTGGGAGGGTGCTATCGCAAATGGACTTGTCAGACATAGGCGCTCACTTTATCCTTAATTTTGCAGAATGTGCTTATCACTGGTTGACAAGCTGTTATAATACGCTGAAAGCATTATGTAAATAATATATATGATATGTAATCAATATAACTTATCTTTAATACAAGAAACTCTGTACCGCATCAGATGCCATTCCCTCGCTGTAAATTCTAGCGATCCAAGTTTTTTCTGCAACCTCTCTGCGCACGCATCCTGAATGTTTATAAACGGGGTAATTCCTCTATAGTCTAAGAAGAAAAGAAGTTTATAAGTCAAAATATCTTCTCTGTCAAGTGTCATTTAAGGACTCTAATAAAAGATTACATGTTTACAGTGCATTGTGGTAATGAATTGTCATTTTAAATTTTTACACTTTGCTGTTATCTTTAAAACCACGAAGTTTTACCCATTTATCAGTAAGATAATTTCTAGCATTTAAAATCTTATACAATATATGATCACTTATTGTTTTATGTTAACTATTGCATGTCATAAGTGTATTGTATCAATTTTAAATAAATGTTATGCTGAATGCTAAATAGATGTTTAATATTCTTTCTATGCATATAAAAAACACTCTTGTAAAATGAATTGGCTTCAGCTATCAGAATGGGACGTTTCATTTTTAATCCAATGAATTAAGCAGTTTCCACTGTTTGACTTCTGCATTTGTCTTAGGATATGTACTGTTTAAAGTGGTTAGTTTTCAGTGGCTGGTGTTTTACAGATAAATTGGAAAGACTTTGAGCATTGGGCATCGTTCAGCTTCCCAGATGCAGTTAATTCCCCACAGTCTTCCTTGTTTAAAACATCATTAGGCTCTCCTGGTTCCCAATGACTGTAAATAAAAAACAAACAAAATGTAATCAGATATAATTACAGATAAAAAAAGCACTGTGCTATGCCAAACCACCAGTATGAAAACACAATGCTGAAAAACACTGAATTAACAACAGACCCCAAAAAAAGTTCCTCAAAATGTAAAAGATTTAAATAAACTTAGACTTGACAACTTAACTAAAAACAAGGTTGTACACCACCTTTTTTTTTTAAAGAATGTATAAAAATGTATGCTGGTTGAATAAGGGACTGTCAATTATGTTTCTTTATCGAGAGGAACACAAAAGTTGCAACATTTTCAAAAACTTTTTACATGCCTGCTGTTCATGACGTATGGCTTTCCATCAATCCATCTCCACTGGCTGGTAATTAAATCTGTAAGTCCAATCCAGTAAGATTCAGATGTAAGAATAGCGTATTGCATAAAATAGTCCTGAATGAAGAAAACAAAACAGGCATTAGATGAGATCATATAAAGTTGATCTGCTATTTTCTTCATGTTAGTTTGTGCCCGTGTTACTAACCCACTCCCTGCTGTCATTCCCCAGGATGAGCAGCAAGCTGTCTATCCCATTACAGTATAAGCGTGCCTTTGGCCAGGTCAGTTTAGTGCTGGGCATCAGGTAGCAGTTGGATAGGAAATGTTGCCACCCTGCTTTACATCTCAGAACAGGTTTATCTAAATGAGAAAAACGGTTTTATATTTGTAAATTAATTTGACAATATCATAAAGTCTTGTTCTTTTACTATTTACAGCTTTAACTAAACTTGGTTGGTGGGTTACTACGTGAAAATACCTGCTGAGAATAGTTATTTGACAAACCCTATTTAACCTACAGCTAAACTAGTTTTCATTGACCTCCTGAAAGATGATTTGTTTTTTTAGTTTTTTGTTACTTGCAATAGATCCACACGGCTTGAACTGTATCTGCTTAACTCTTTACACATATCATGTCTAAAGCCACATTGAAAATGCAACACTTGACAATTTCTTTAAATGCCTTTGAGAGGGTGATGCAGGTAGTGCTGTCGCCTCACAGCAAGAAGGTCGCTGGTTCAAGCCTTTGGCTGGATCATTTGGCATTTCTGTGTGGAGTTTGCATGTTCTCCCTGCATTCGCGTGGGTTTCCTCCTGGTGCTCCGGTTTCCCCCACAGTCCAAAGACATACAGTACAAGTGAATTGGATAAGCTAAATTGTCCGTAATGTATGAGTGTGAATGAGTCTGTGTGGATGTTTCCCTGAGATGGGTTGCGGCTGGAAGGGCATCCGCTGTGTAAAAACATGCTGGATAAGTTGGCGGTTATTCTTCTGTGGCGACCCTAGATTAATAAAGGGACTAAGCTGACAAGAAAATGAATGAATGAATGAATGAATGAATGAATGCCTTTGTGAGCTTGTGATAGTTTGTCCTTGCTATGGGCACCGTCAGCTGTTGCTACTGTTCCTATACACGTGCGGGGGTCAAGTTTCGAAACAGTTCAGCTTTTGCCGCTGTGTAAATTAATAGTGAATGTGTTTCGTTTTTTTTTTTACTAATGGTTAAGAATAGAGGAATATGCTGGTGTTAGCTACAAATAAATGCTTACTATAAGTACTATAAGTGTATTTTTTTACCTTGCATGCATATCAGCCTGTTGTTGGAAACCACTAAAACCAAAATATGACCTTTTTATATGCATAACAAGGGCTCTTTAAAAATGTGTCAAAATTTGTTTGCAGGACTGCCCTCATGTTAGTTAACTGATGTAAAATATTAGCAGTTTTGACATTTTTTATGCAATTTTTGTTTTGATATCAAGGTGCCAGTTGGGCTGCTCTACATCTGTGATTTTCTAAAATACTGCATTTTGCATTTAGAAAATTTTCTGAGTCCTTTAAAATGCTTCTTGTCCCCAAAAGAAAAATGCATGTGAGAACAATATAATGAGAATATTAAGTGGCCAATCAGACCCAACTCTGCAACTCTGCATTACTCACCAATTCAACTCTGAAGAGGGTAGGGATTCATATTTAAGCATACACTAGCTATGTTTTCATCCAAATATGCAAATTAAATTCATGTGCAAAACTGTAATATTGTATAAAACATTTAAGAATAAATTTTCCACCCCCCCCCCCCCCCCCCCTGATCAGATTGCACTGCACCAAATCTGCATCCAGACCCCTCTCTGACTTTCTGATAACTGGTGGCAAATATTAAAAAAAGGAAAATGGAATTTGCTGCAATAGTAAAAGCCACTGTTGGTCTCTTTTAAAAAAATTAATTACTTACTTGCACTTCAATGAATGCACAGTGGCTTTTGGAGCGGTAAGACTGCTCTTTCAGAGTACAGGCTCTTAAGACAGTTCTGTGAGGTAGAAATACTGAACCACTTTGATGATAGAATTGACCAAAAATTTTAGGTATTTTACAACATGGGCTGTCCGCTGGTTTTTGCATTATTAATGCTGTCCCATTGTGCCTAGTATTTTTTTTACATGGTCTGTTAAACTTAAATGATTTTTTTTTTAATCAACACGCATAAGAAGTTGATTCTGTAGTTGATTTTTTAAATGTGTTTCCATTGTAGATCATTTCCAATTTTTTCCTTATTGGATTAAAAGTTTATTGAAACCACTTGTGCAAATTTACAAACTTTCCATTAAGCATTTTTTATGCTATATTCTAAAATCCACATAAAATATGTTAATGTAAACAATTAAGAAAATTTGCACTGAAAGCCCTGCAATGACCAAAACTTAAACAGTAGAAAGAAACATTAAGGCTTGACTAAACTTTCATAAGGAGCATGAGGATTAAGAGTGAGAGGGCCTGAAAGATGCAGTGACAGTACTTACACTGAGTCAGATTTGCTATCCTGGTCTCCAGATCAGCTTTAAGTTCATTGACCATCTCCATAAGTCTGTCATCTGTACACAGAGATATGAACTAAGCATTCTCACACTTTATATGTAATGCAGCAAATTTGTATTTTTTCCCCATGACCCATTTTACCCAGAAAGTGCTGGTTCTCTTTTTGTGTTTTATTCATTTATTTATTAGCCTTATCTCTTTGCAGCACATGAAAAGAGCAGCTACATTAAAGAAGTAATTGTTATTTATGTTTGAGTAGATGCATGTTAACATTTAAGTAGTGTAAAGCTATTGAAAAAGAATAGAAATTGAAATCTTCACACAAAATCTTACTTCTTTCTTGTTGGTCTGAAGAAAGCAAAGCAAAACCTGACGTCAGATTGGCCACCTCATTCCCTACTTCAGTGAGTTTTCCATACAGCTGTTTCACTGTAAAAAATAACAAATATTAATATGTTTGCAAAATGATGATTAGAGATTGCTTCCTAACACTTTAGCATTGCATAAACAAGGAAACATTTTATGCAGATTTGTTGTTATTTTACTACACAGCTCTAATATAACGAATTTTCCCTGCAGATGTTTATGTTCATGTACTAAACACACTAAAGACATACTGTGTTTTTGATATAACCATATAAATATATATGAGTGGGTAGTGGATGAAAGTGTAGAGCGGAATATACTATACGGAATAATAATATACTAACTTGGTAGTTTTGTCCTGTTTTTATTCCAAATATATAAAAAAATCTTGAATCAAGATACATACTAGACAAATAAAATAGCATACGATATTATGACTTGGTTTCTGAAAAAAATACCTAAATCAAAATTAAGGGATTGTTTGCTTAAAACAAGCAAAATTATTTCCCAATGGGGTAAGAAAAATAATCTTAATAAGATATAATCTCAAACAGCAGTTTTAAGCATCACTTAATTTTTTCATGCCATTTTCTTTTCTTGATGTAAGATTTTTCATATATTTGGACAGGAAACGAGATTAAGTAAAGCTTTTTTTTTTTTTTTTTTTTTTTTTGCAGTGTAGATATACATGACAACTGATAGATAAATTAATGATCCAAAAAAGGTGAGTGAATAAAAACTTGTCTTTGCAATGCAAAGTGCAATGTAACCATACCACTGCTGCTTTACTTCTGTGTTTGACCCTTTCACTTGTGAGTATAAAAGATTCTATCTGGCCCCGGGAGTGAGTTTTGTTAGGTGATCATTATTTAGAAAGTTCACCCTTAATGTTTCCGTAGTGACGCATCAAGTTTGTCACGTGACTTACCGCAGCCATAGTGTGGTATGACAGATTGTGTAAAAATGTGTAAGTGAGTGTTTTTGTTGTTTAAAAGACGTATAAACGATCTTGATCTGGATCTATGACGTGAGATGGACATCGCCATGTTTACTTGCGTCCGGTTGTATGCCTTATTTATAAAAGCGGAACAGGCAGGATTCAGCACGTAAATTCATCAGATACTCCCAAAATGCATGCAAGCAAGTGGCTGGCCATGTTTAATGCGTCAAAGCTCAGTTTGAATTTTTCATGTCATTCTGCTTTTATTTATTTATTGTGAAATGCTCCATCACCTTGGATGACTAGGGTCACACAGATTTCTCTGCTATTGCCATGTATCTTTTCTCTAATGTTACCTCCACTCGTTTCTTTTGCTCTGTCCTGTCTATGAGGCACCGAATTCTGCTGGCATCAGTGCAGAGCAGAGGCAGAGTGCGTTCACTCTGCTCTAAGCTCAACTAAAGTTTTTTAATAATCAAACGTCTCCGCATCGCGCAACACGACAAATCGATTAGGAAATTCATTGCCAATGCTTTTAGTAATCAATTTTAAATCGATTTAATTGATTCATTGTTGCAGCTCTACTGGCCGCCTCGCCATCAAGGAAGGTGAAGGCATAAGCGCACAAGGACTGGGCAGAGAGAAAAACACCCTCTATGCCTGCGTGTGCCCCTTGGATTAAGGGGACAGGAGCTGGTAGATTCATCTTTCATCAGCCTACACGTCACACAATCTAGTCGCTCCGGTGGTGAGACTGGGGGACAAGCCATCTCCAGTCACACTGTCGAAGCAGCCCAGAAAGCATAGCCATCATGTCTGACTTGAGAACCGTGACCACGCATTGTACCCTGTATGATGGTAGCGACCCTGGTCTGTCATCTGTGCATGACAGCTCACCCTCCGATGTTGTGATGAGCACCTGATCTGCGGTGCCATCAAGCGGAGGCGAGGGCATACTGAGGGATGAACCGACACAACCCCTCGAAGTTTGGATGGAGCTTGTTGTAGAGGAGTGGGGGCGATGGATAAATCCTCACTGTGATTCTCAAATTAGAGAACCGCTTTTACACGGAGCAACCGGAGTGGCTTGGAAGCTGCGATCTTAGCTGTAAAACTGCCATGTCCTCAACGTGGGAGCAAGAGCTGTCCATGAAGACAACATCGACATGGACCCCCAGAGCTCTCATCCGGAGATATGAACCACCACATCCAAAAGCGCAGAGTCAGAACCACGTTTTGAAAAAACGTGTTCCTTGACTATGTTGCTCTCCAAGGGAATCTGCACTTTTAATGAAAACTGCTCTTTTGTGCACTCCAGTGTACTGCCCAGGGGGCAGGAAAGCCTAGATTGACCGCCACTGTCACGTCTTCTCCCGGACTGGTGACTAAACTGGTCTCAGTCTTGAAATCAGGCTGATAGAGAGTGTCTTCAGTCTTGTGAGAGACTCTGAAGCAAAATTCTACTGCTTACTGCACAGCCATCAGCTGATATATTCTGCCAATGACTAATCGCTGACAGCTGTGGAGCTGAGCTCAGCCAATTCATTTGGCATTCATTGACCTATTTTTTTTTTTACTCTTCAGAGTGATTGGTCGTCTGGCGTACTCCCATAGTATGTTACCAGACACACGTTGTAGTTCCCATGAAGGGAAACTTTTTTTAATGCTCACGTGGCAAAGTCTTTCTGTGAACTTTGGATGTGTGCTCTTAGAAAATAAACCAAGTCTTTAAAGACGCTTCATCGCAGGAAGGTCTCTGGTTTGAGTCTTGGCTGGGCCAATTTGCATTTCTGTGTGGAGGACTTTCACCCTGTGTACTTGTGGGTTTCCTTTGGTTTGTGTGAATGAAATTGGCCGTAGTGTGTAAATGAGAGAGTGTTTCCCAGGGATGGGTTGCCCCTGGATCGGCATGGGCTGCATAAAACATATGTAATAAACTGTTCGTTCACTCCTCTGAATTTTAGGCATTGTTGACCAGACAAAACATAAACTATTTTGTGTTCATATTGTCTGCATTAAAATACAAGTCAAAGTAAATTAGCAAATCACTACTTTCTGTTTCATTTGCATTTTTCCATACCGTTCCATCTTTTTCTTATTGACTTTTTCTGACTTTCAGAGGCAACTGAATGCAAGTTATCTGAGACTGACATATATGATGCAGGATGTAACATGAGTAGACATATGTGCACAGAAAGTGGTGAGTGGTTCCCTCAAGATGTGGCTACAAATACAATCTTACGCCATGCGTCATACGTCATGCATCATATATCACATATCAGTCACACATATCGTAAATTTGACCAGAAGTCAGTGATTGCAGTTTATAATTTAATAATTTGAAATATTTCTTTGACAAAAACACATCAATCTGTTTCATAAGGCATAGTTTAATCCCCTGCTGGTGTAAAGGGTTATTTTTATAGTAGATTTATGTGCTTTTGTAAGCTTCAAAATTAGCCACTACCCAACACCATTATACAAAATAGATGAGCCAGGATAAAATGTTTACTATTCTGACTGTGTTTTTCTGACAGTAAACGGCGAATAAATTGTGATCTAACATTCATTTCAGGTTGAACTATTCCTTTAAGAATAATTGTAGACTCATTGCAAAGTGCTGAAATATTACCTTATATGCAGTCGCATCCTTGACTTTTAACCCTTATTTTTTTAAATTGCTACAGTATCTGTAATATAAATCTTACTCTTACTTTCTTGTTGGTTTGAAGAAAGCAAAGCAAAAGATGATGCCAAACTGACCACCTTGTTCTCCACCTCAGTCATTTTACTGTATTGTTGATTCACTGTTAAGAAAACAAACAAACACAGGAGTGTAAAATCAGGTTAAAATGATACAAAAACATTTACAAAATGTAAGGATTAGATTTGTTTTTTCTTAAGGCACATGTATTTGTATTTGTTATTTAGCCATACTACTGTAGGGACTAGGCTGAGCAGTTAATCAAATGGAAATCACAAACAAGATTAATCAAAAAGTGCAATTATCTATGACTAATGCAAAACTGATGTTTCACCGTTTCATGATCCCGAAGAGCAGATGTTTCGAAACACTCCTCTGAAGCAATTTCGAAACACCCTGGTCACATGACTAAAGCAATTCAAGACTCTGCCATTTCACAAGTGTTTCAAGAAGTGGCCTACCTGTCAAATCTGCATCTAAATGATAGGGTCGAATATAAAAAACACACAATAGTGCACAATTTAGTGGACAGTGTGCCGGCATATAGTGCAACAACTCTGCTGGGTTAAAATCTCTCCTGAGTTTAAATCTCAGCTTGCACAAAAAGTCAGAAATGGTGGCTCTAATTAACAACTATTCTATTAAAATTGATTTGATTTTGAACAGCTTAAGGTTATTATTAATGAATATTACCATTAGCTTATTAGCTAAATAAGTAAATGCTACACTATTTAGTTAATCCAGGTCGCCTATACTGCATGTCTTTGGGAGAAACTGGAAAGCTCACGCAGACATGGGGCAACAGTGCTAACCAATGAGCCACTGTGCCTCCCATAACAAATATATCACACTATACTGAAAGCAACTCTATAGCCTGACTTTTTTTATGTAAATGATAAAGGTTCAATGCATCTGTGAATCTTACAGGTTATAGAGACTGCCGTTAACAAAGCCATGACGATTATGATAGTGCCACCCATCAGAACAAAGCAACACTTTTCACTCCACAAGCGACCTGCAGAAGACAATAAATGCTATAAATGAGCATATATGTTGATATATAATCATAGAATAATTGTTATTCTTTACTGTCTGAATATCTTGCTTATACAATCCCAATTCAGAAAAAGCTGGGACTATATGGAAAACGCAAATAAAAAATAATTTTTTTTTTTAGTAATTTAGCAGATAAATAAATAAATAAATTATTAATATCCAAATTCACTCTGACTTGTATTTCATTGCAGACAATATGAACCCAAAATTTTCATGTTTTTTTCTGGTCAACTTAATATCATTTGTAAATTTGGATATTTCACCTTCAGCAGTGCACCACATAATTAAAAGATTCAAGAAATATGGAGGCATTTCAGTGCTAAGAGGACAAGGGCGCAAGTTACCATAATCTCCGATCCCTGAAGCAGCACTGCATCAAGAATCGTCATTCATCTATAAGTGATATCACCACATGGGCTCAGGACTACTTTGGCAAAGCTTTATCAAGTACCACAATACATTGTTACATTCACAAATGCCAACAAAAACTGTGCTGTGGCAAAAGGAAGCCCTGGTTACAGTGTCCAGAAGCGCTGTTGACTTCTCTGGGTGGGCTATCACACAGTGTAAACATGTACTGTGGTCAGATAAATCATTTCAGGTATTTTCTGTGCAGAAAGCTCTGGACCAAAGAAGAAAAAAAAAAATCATCCAGACTGTTATCAGCAAAAAGTCCAAAAGCCAGGGTCTGTCGTGGTAAGGGGTTGTGTCAGAGCCCTTGACAATGGTAACTTGCACTTCAGTGATGGCTCTAAATGCTGATTCAAGAGTTCACACTTAGCTGATGATTAATTATAAGCTTGTTTGGCATGCTGTCCCGGGAGAGAGCCCTGAGCTCATGAGATCCTCGAGCCCAGGACTCCCTCCCGTTGCAAAGCGGGAGGGGAGTTTGAGCTCAGGTAGATCTCGAGAACTCCCCTGCTGTAGCAAGTGAATGCTCTTGAAACTAATTACTAACTAGGAGCGTGTCTATGTTGACAATTTGGCTTGTTCAATTGGCTTAATTGCATGTTTTTTGGGCGGTGGGAGGAAACCGGGGAACCCGAGGGGAAACCCACGTGAGCACGGGGAGAAGTGCAAAACTCCGCACAGAAATGTCTGCTAGTTTTGGTAGAGCCAGGAACCAGAGACATTCTTGCTGTGAGGCGACAGTGCTAGGCACTGGGCCACCGTGTCACCCGTCTAAGAAGGAGGCGTAGGGGAGGAAGGGGGGACTCTTCAAAACGAAGATAGCAATGGAATAAACCCCAGGGTATTTATAGTAGTTTAGGAGTCATCTGATTGGATAGTAGTGAATTGGATAATGCGGGTCAGCTGCTAGCAATCATAAGCACGTGATCCTCTCGAAATTTGTTTATACATAAACTTCACTTCAAGAGTTCACACTTAGCTGATGATTAATTATAAGCTTGTTTGGCATGCTGTCCCGGGAGAGAGCCCTGAGCTCATGAGATCCTCGAGCCCAGGACTCCCTCCCGTTGCAAAGCGGGAGGGGAGTTTGAGCTCAGGTAGATCTCGAGAACTCCCCAAAAATGCCTTTGAATAGCTCGGGACAGCAGCCGCGTATTGAAGAGCCCCCCAAAAAGGCAGGTGTAACAAGCCATATCCGGCTGCTGGATATAGCGTTGATAGCTTAGGAAGAGAAGCTTCTAAGGGAGCAGAGCAAAGTAGGCTGCTAGAGCCTGTAGTGGTTTTCTTGGTTTTTCTCTTACTCAATCAAACTCAGTCTGGAGGTTATGAATATCAGAAGAATATACTTTATTGTCGACAACAAAGGAGAACTTTCAGGAGACCCCCAGTAGCATCTCTGTCTGAAAAATTCTGCCTCCCTAATCTCCTGGCCTGTTTAAATACACTTTGACAACAATTATTTTCCTTTGTTCTCCATACATTACACAAGATCCCTGCCCTAACCCCAAATTCCACCTCTGACATCTGTTTCCTGAGACACCTCAGGCTCTTTTACCACTCTCTTTTCATCCCTTCTTTTATGACCCCTAGTTGTTTCCTCAAGCCATTTCCCATGTCCAATTGTTTTAATGGTATGCAAGTCTACAAGCAGATTATACACATATAACCTGAATATATAGATTAACTTCACACTCCAAAGAGCACAAAATCCACCTCATATAATCCCTCCTCTTAAGACTTTAAGTCTTAATAATCTTGCTTTTGGCCCATAGTGCAACTCCATGACCTAGCCCTCAGTTATACTACCTAATGACAAATATATGTCACAGTATTATTACAAATGACCAAATCATGTAATTGCACTTTGGAATAAAATCACGCCAAACCTCTGTGTCCTGTTCTGACGAGGACACAGTAAAAGACTTGATTCTATTTTGTTGATATCATCATAAAAGTAGTATTTTAAGCATACAATTAGTTATCTATTTGCTTCTGGGGGTCATGATTATTTAACATACAGTAAAGAATAAAACTAAAACAAAAAATAAACATGCACAATCTCCCAATCTAAGGTCACAACACAATATTCTAATCTAACATCCACAAACATAATCCGTAGAGTATGTTGATCTTCAGCCCAGATACTTTGCGTATCGTAGAGAGCCGCCGTTTTGGGGTAGAGGTTACTAGCACTTAACACCCAAGGCATGGATCCTCTTCATCATCCTCTTCTTTATCTAAACTATAAAAATTTTTAGCGCTAGTTCATCTTTTTTGACCCTAAATCTGGCACATACTTGCGAGCATTATGTTTCGTTCTAGCCTTAAAAAGTGTTGCTAAAGACTTTATGTTGAGAGTCTATAACCTGAAGTTGTGGTGATTATCATCACTTGAATTTGTGGCACCTTCAGTATTTCTCACTCAGGTATATAATCAGAATTACTCTTTTAACTGTTCTGATGAACTGCTTCTGCCACACTTTGCAATTCGTTGGTTTGAGCTTTGGGATTTTCGGCCTCCTCTGTTTCCCGTTAACTTTCTCTTGTTGGAGTTTTTTCATTTGGCTGTCTTGTGCTGTGGTCCCGATGGTACCCAGTTGATGGCATCCCCTTTGGTAACCTTGGCATAAGGTCCATTTCTCCTGACTTCACTCCACTTTCTCCAGAGCACCTCAGATATACTCGATCACCGGATTAATCTCCTGCTTCTGGTCCTTTCTGGTTTCCTGTACAGATATTGCTTTGCACATGGCAGTTAGTTTCCTCATAAAAGACCAAACTTCTTTCTAATGCATTAGAAATGTTCTCCAAACATTCCACAAGGTTAAATAGGAGATTACATGCAAGGGTCGACCCAATAGTACTTCATGCAATGTTAGTTGCTTGTTTCTGTCAGTTTTCATGCAATCATTAATGAAAAAGGTATATTATTTTAACACATCTTGTTAAACTAGGCCTTGATGAATCATCTTTAGCTCTTTCAATAATTCCTTACAATTATGTGTAATTTCTCAATTTTCTTTATTTCCAATACTTTATCAATTCATTTATTTATCTATTCACTGAATTATATATCCACTTATTTATCTACTTAATTACCTTTATTCACTTTAATTGACTTTAATTACTTTAATTTATTTTTAAATGCAGACACATTATTTGAACTTTCTTCAGAGGTTATTCCAAATCTGAGACTTCTCTAGTCTTAAATGTAATAACTGTTTCTTCTTCCCTGCTCTGCTAATGAAATTACCTTCACTCATCTACCACAACTGTCATGCCCAAAAGCTTGTATCTCTTGTCCTAAGCTAGCTTTATTATATCACAACACCCACAATCAAATTCTTGAATATCCCCTTAGGCCTATTGCTGATCTTTTACTCACATTCTACTTTGCACAAATGTCACATGTGGACAACAATTCACTAATCACTGCATTCAAAAAGGCGATCATTTTCCTTGGTGCTCAATTTTCTTTACCACTTCACCCTTGATTCAAACCATGTACATCTCAAATGCCAATCTATTAAAATGCTGTTGCCTCAACAATCTGTTCTTTGTATGTATTACATAAATCTTATTTGTCTTTTTCTTTCATCTCTATTACTACATATATTGTTCATGGAGACCAATATGTTGTTTAATTTGCACTATCATCTAATTGATGTTGTGACTCTATACTAGTGTTATACCTGCTACCTTATTTTCTTTCATGTAAAATCAATTTCTTATTTATCAGCTTACTTGCAGATAACTAAATCCTACACATTACAATATCCATCACGAAATATTGTAAATCCTTTTATGCATTCTAATGTATGTAACTATGTAAATCAGCCTATTTACTTTAAGTGTAACCAAGTGTCTACCCTCCTCTGATAATTACCTGAACAGAAATCAATTACTTTAAAATATTTGACCTCCAAAGGAAAACATTTAAATACAGTGTGTGTTATGAACCTCTGCTGAGAAATTCTCTATCACTGATTGTTCTTAAATCATAAACTTTACAACATCTAATTTTGCCTGTTTTGACTAATGCCATCATCAAAAATTAAATTTTAATCAAATTAAAATAAAATCCATTTTATTAGTCACCTACACAATCACAATCGAATTGAAATTGACTTTAATTAGAAATGCCATAACATATCTAAGTGTTTCTCTTATTGCTATGTTCTCAAAAGTTTCAATTATGCCTATTCCAGCATAGCAGACCTGCATCTGGTTTAATTTTAATTAATCCTCCCAATGCTGGTTAATTTTGTCTACCTTTATGTCCTGATCGTTAATCATTATTAAAATTTGACATTTACCTAAATTATTTCTTATTTTGCATTTTATATTATTACCATTTTTCACTTTTCAGCATTTTCAGCTCCAATTCCTTCCTACTTTCACATCACACTGTTTGTACATACATTTTTTGTAGTAATTTTCTACAAGTTGACTGAAAAATCACTGGATTTCTTTATAGGTTCCTCTCTATCTGATCTGATTATTCATCTTTAGTCCTTAATCCTTTTTTGCTTTTAATTATTTCTTCAC